CCCCCCCCCCCTATTCATTATCAAAAACCATCACCCATGGTTTTTTTTGGTGGGGGGGGGGCTAATTTTTAAAATTATTTTACCCAGTGAAAGATTATGAATTGTTGTTGTGAATTATTAATGATAACTTTAACCTAAAGGTTACCTAAAATTATGCTGTATAAACTATTTAGGTAAAAACAATATCATTTTTTTTTATTTTAACAGACAAATCTGGGGGGAAGGTGCAATACTGATAAATTTAGGTAGGAAACCAGTATTTTATAAATCCCAGAACATTTATTCTCTTTTACAATAAAGTCTGAAACTATTCTTATCTAGTATTCAACAGACAAGCAGTCCAACATCTTTAACACTTTGTGGGAACAGTACAGGTGAAACACTTCCTTGTTGTTGGGGAACATCTTCATTGCACATATATAAATTTTGTATGTAAAATTATATATTTTGTATGTAAAAATATATTTTGTATGCAAACATATATATTTTATATGTAAAAATATATATTTTGTATGCAAACATATATATTTTGTATGTAAAAATATATATTTTGTATGCAAACATATATATTTTGTATGTAAAAATATATATTTTGTATGTAAAAATATATATTTTGTATGCAAACATATATATTTTGTATGTAAAAATATATATTTTGTATGGAAACATAAAAATTTTGTATGTAAACATATGAATATGAAAAAAAAAACATACATATTTTGTACGTCATCGTAAATATTTTCTAGGTGGGCATATTTTATAGGTCAACATATATATTTTATAGTTCAGCTTATACATTTTAAATGTCAGGTTATATATTGTGTATGTCAACATATATATAGTGTGTGTTAACTTATCTGTTTTGTAAGTCAACATATTTATTTTGTATTTAAACATATTTAATTTGAAGGTCAACATATATATTATCTGTTTCAACTTATCTATTTTGAAAGTCAACATGTATATTATAAATTAAAACATATTTATTTTGAAGGTCAACATAAATATTATGTGTGTCACTTATCTATTTTGTAAGTCAACATATTTATTATGTATTTAAACATATTCATTTTGAAGGTCAACATATATATTTTGATGTGAGTGAGGGGGATGTGGCTGAATTGAAGTTTATCCTAGATCAAACAGTGGGGTTCAGGTCAGTAAAACAACTGATTTTTTGCCTCAAACTCTGACTTTATAATTTTAATAATCCATTTCTTTCTTGCCTTATGTGTAACTTTTTTGATTAGCAACATCTATAAAGTAGTAATCTCCGTTTGTTTGCTTGCATGTTCGATCATAACTCAGGAACCCCTTGACGCATTTGCCTTTGACTTTTTTTGGAAAACTGCGGAAAAACGAAAATTATCTTTATTTAAGAATAATTTTAAGTTGAGTGGGTTGAATTTTATAGAGAAATTTTAATTTCCAGACAAAACTGGGTTTCCAAGTTATTTTACAATTCCTGAAATAAATAAACATGAAGTACACAACCGACTTTCAGGCTGTCAGAGTAAGTTTTGTACAGTATACACTATACATACAGCTACAGGCTGTTGAACGGGACAGTACAACAAAGGAATCAACCCATTTTTGTGAGATTAATTATATATTGAACATTGTACTTGACTGGTATATATTTGTATAGAAGAGGATGGGAACTCTTAATCAATTATATGGAGTGTGGACAGAGTGTTCCTGGTTGTACACAGTATTTTACAGGTACTCATTTACATAGTATTTTACAGGTACTCATTTACATAGTATTTTACAGGTACTCATTTACATAGTATTTTACAGGTACTCATTTACACAGTATTTTACAGGTACTCATATACACAGTATTTTACAGGTACTCATATACACAGTATTTTACAGGTACTCATTTACATAGTATTTTACAGGTACTCATAAACACAGTATTTTACAGGTACTCATTTACATAGTATTTTACAGGTATTCATTTACACAGTACTTTACAGGTACTCATTTACACAGTATTTTACAGGTACTCATTTTCACAGTATTTTACAGGTACTCATTTACACAGTATTTTACAGGTACTTATTTACACAGGATTTTACAGGTACTCATTTACATAGTATTTTACAGGTACTCATTTACACAGTATTTTACAGGTACTCATTTACATAGTATTTTACAGGTACTCATTTACACAGTATTTTACAGGTACTCATTTACACAGTATTTTACAGGTACTCATTTACATAGTATTTTACAGGTACTCTTTTATACAGTATTTTACAGGTACTCATTTACATAGTATTTTACAGGTGCTCATTTACACAGTATTTTACAGGTACTCATTTACATAGTATTTTACAGGTACTCATTTACACAGTATTTTACAGGTACTCTTTTACTTAGTATTTTACAGGTACTCATTTACATAGTATTTTACAGGTACTCATTTACACAGTATTTTACAGGTACTCATTTAGAAACATGCAAAAAAAAATAAAAAACTGCTTTGAGTTCACATTTAGAAAAATTTGAGTATTTAAAGCAATAAAATGTGTGTATTTCTGAAACTTTATTTTTTGACTACTATTTTTACTCTTATGATTAAATTTTTTTCTTTTTTTGATTTCATGCTTTCCGAACTTTTTATATTCACAAATAATTTTTACTCTTTAATGTTAACTATTCTGTAACTCACAAGGGAACCCTTATTTATTTACCTTCTTCAAATATTACTAGCCTTAACATTAACATTTTCCAACTTTTTACCAAATAAATTCATCAAGCCAAGCATTACTCTTTTATTTCTTATGTTCTCAAATTCCTATTACCACCCTTAATGTTTTTTATTGCTAGGGAACTCTGGAACTATTACCAGTTTCAACTTTTATAAAATGTTTATTATTGCTAGGGAACTCCGGAACCATTACCAGTTTCAACTATTATAACACAGAAGCAACAAGACGGGTAATAATTTCAATATTTAATCATATTTATAAAACGAATCTGTTTTTAAGCTAGCTAACTTACTACATTTTTTAATTATTATTTCTTTATAATTAATCCTTAAGGGTTTGAATTAAGGGTTATATATTTTAATTTTGATTCCATATATTCCAATTTATTTAGGTTCATTTATCTGGTCTGGATTATACTATATGTATCCGTAGAGAAACTGGAAGCTGTTGTTTAAGGAATGAATACTTTTTATTTATTTTAAAGAAAAATGTTTAGCAATTCCAACCCGCGTATTTTTAATAAATTTTCCTAGTTTTTTTCCCAATTACTCTAACAAGATATATAAAAATGAACTCAAAAATTCTCCTGTTAGACTGAACCCTACGATTACGCCCGATGGATATGATTTGAATGGAGTGACATGTGCTAGTGATTGTAATACAGCACAAACATGCAGGTAGGGGTGAGGGACTGATTCAAGATGCTAACTGCCAAGAAAGTTCTTTAAATAAAAGATTTTGTAAATAAAGTCCTAAAATTTGACAATAAAAAGTCCTCAGTTGAAAGGATTAAATTGGCATCCCCGAATCCCATATCATTTCAAGAAAGAAAACATTTTGTCTTGAGACTTTTTCCGAAATTTTTTGTAACTTGACTTTCTTAAATACATTTGTCAAGTTAAACTATATGTTGTGCTTGTAATTGCAATTATATCAAGAGGTTTCCAGTTTTCTATATATTGTATATTTACTGAGCAGGACTGATGGAACAGATCACCTCCTAATCCCTCAAGCAAATGAAGATGGAAAAGATCCAACATCATATACAAGGTGTTTATACACATCTGTGTACTGTGAACACTGTACATTAAATATATGTAGAAATGATACAATAGAATAATCTGAAAAATGTTCAGGTTTTGTGGAACTCTGACAAATGTGTTCAGTGTTGCCACAAGTCAACATCCATTAGTTACATGTTCAGTTCCTTTCAATTTACACTTTCATTCAGCTATGTCAGGTTACTACGTTATATTAGGGAGTTATTTTCATTTTTACGATTTTAAGGAATCTAGTCTTTGCAACAAAATTAAATGTTCTAATCTCTACATCTTTTCAATCTGATGGTGTATACCTATGACATTTCAAACTTATATTATTTAATCAAACATAATTTATAGTTTACAATATCTATGCCATTGGTTTGAAAAATCAGAGTTTGTGCCTGTGGCAAAGATTCAATTCCTTTACAATTTATACATCCTTTTTGTTTAGGAAATTCTGGCAATACCAGGGGATTCAATCTTAAATATGTTCAACTACCCTGCAGACATTTCTAGCATGTACACCATGTACAGTACAGTAATCTGCTCTACATAGCTATGGGATTTACGAAACTTTACTGAAAAGTTGTAAACTGTACTATCTTTAAGAAAATAAAAATATTAAAAATCTTATACAAACATACTTTTTATAAAATAAAGTGGAACATGTACATTTTTACGAAGCAAGAGGTGTGAAAAAAAAGAAGATGAAGAAGCATCAGGAAGGAGGGGGGGGGGGGAGGATGTTACCTTGAATACTGCGCCTGAAAGCTACTAGATTCTCCTGTTCTCCACGTATCGGTTCATCCTAAAATTAATATTTACAAAGTTTTTTGAGATAAAAGAGAAGATTTCATTTTTTTAGTTTCATTTTTCAATGTAGATTATATAGAATTTTAACTTCTTGGTCTGAAAATACATTAAACATATGATGCAGAAATCTGACCCAATTCTAATTTAAATGAAAAAAAATTTGAGTGAAACAATATAATTCTGTTCTTCTAAAACTTTACCTGAAGTGTTATGACAACAGTAAGAGAGGAATATTGTTCTCTATCCAGGGGTTCAGACAATGTCACCTTAATCAATCAATCAATTAATCAACTCATCAATCAATCAGCCTAAGTTATATCGATCATACTTTACAATATGTAGATATTTGGTTGAATATAAGTCACTGCAAACGAGATGTGCACGCTCTCACACGCTTTGCATCTTTAAAATGTATAATTTAAGCTAGAAACAAACGCTTTGTATCTTTAAAAAGTATAACTTAAGCTAGAAACAAACATTTTGCATCTTTAAAATGTATAACTTAAGCTAGAAACAAACATTTTACATCTATAAAATGTATAACTTAAGCTAGAAACAAACATTTTGCATCTATAAAATGTATAATTTAAGCTAGAAACAAACGCTTTGCATCTATAAAATGTATAACTTAGCTAGAAACAAAAACTTTGCATCTTTAAAATGTATAACTTAAGCTAGAAACAAACATTTTGCATCTCTAAAACGTATAAATTAAGCTAGAAACAAACATTTTGCATCTTTAAAATGTATAACTTAAGCTTGAAACAAACGCTTTGCATCTTTAAAATGTATAATTTAAGCTAGAAACAAACGCTTTGTATCTTTAAAATGTATAATTTAAGCTAGAAACAAACGCTTTGCATCTATAAAATGTATAATTTAAGGTAGAAACAAACACTTTGCATCTTTAAAATGAATAATTTAAGCTAGAAACAAACGCTTTGCATCTTTAAAATGTATAATTTAAGCTAGAAACAAACATTTTACATCTTTAAAATGTATAAATTAAGCTAGAAACAAACATTTTGCATCTTTAAAATAAAAACAAACATTTTGCATCTCTAAAACGTATAAATTAAGCTAGAAACAAACATTTTGCATCTTTAAAGTGTATAACTTAAGCTAGAAACAAACGCGTTGCATCTTTAAAGTGTATAACTTAAGCTAGAAACAAACGCGTTGCATCTTTAAAATGTATAACTTAAGCTAGAAACAAACATTTTGCATCTTTAAAATGTATAACTTAAGCTAGAATCAAACGCTTTGCATCTCTAAAATGTATAACGTAAGCAAGAAACAAACATTTTGCATCTTTAAAATGTATAATTTAAGCTAGAATCAAACGCTTTGCATCTCTAAAATGTATAAATTATGCTAAAAACAAACGCTTTTTATCTTTAAAATCAAAGGCAAAAGCTTTGAAACACTTTAAAGTCAAGATTGTCTCAAAATTAGATGACTATGATTCCGAGTTGTCTATATCTCAGTGATATTTGAACAGAGTTGTCTATATCTCATTGATATTTAAACAGAGTTGTCTACATCTCAGTGATATTTAAACAGAGTTGTCTAGATCTCAGTGATTTTTAAACAGAGTTGTCTATATCTCAGTGATATTTAAACAGGGTTGTCTATATATCAGTGATATTTAAACAGGGTTGTCTATACATCAGTGATATTTAAACAGCGTTGTCTACATCTCAGTGATATTTAAACAGGGTTGTCTATATATCAGTGATATTTAAACAGCGTTGTCTATATCTCAGTGATATTTAAACAGAGTTGTCTACATCTCAGTGATTTTTAAACAGAGTTGTCTAGATCTCAATGATATTTAAACATGGTTGTCTATATCTCAGTGATATTTAAACAGAGTTGTCTAGATCTCAGTGATATTTAAATCTGTAACAAGTTTTCTGTAAAGTAATTCAAATGAAAACATTTGTTCCAATTGGAAACAATCAGACAAAGAATAAAACATTTATAATTATATTTTTTTGATATTTTTTATTGTTTGAATAAAAACTTACAACTCCTGTAGCCCGATCTACTCTAAAGAAATCTCCGCTGATAAAGTAGGATATCCTACTTCCCTCTGGATCCTCTCCCCTACAAATATCAAGATTTTATATAACAAATCAATCAAATAAAAAAAAATTCTTGGTGTAATTATTTTAAAATGTAAAGCCTTGCCTTGACAGAATGTCCCACGAAACATGACAGTTGGTTTATAGTTTTAAATGCCTTCTTCTATGATTTGTTACGTTCTTTGATACCAAAGAGAATAATGAAAAATATCACGTGACAATCAGTTTATAGCAAAATTGATTTCAAAGTAAAAAGTGTCTGAATAAAAGAATTTGTTATTATGACTTTAAAAAGTCTTTAATATTTAAAAAATAGTATATTGAAGAGACAATCAATAATATTCACCAACTGTCATGTTTCGTGGGACACCCTGTAAATAACTAAAAATAAAGGCGCTTCGCGGCATCAAAGTTTAGAAAGCAGTTATTTAAATTAACAACACTGATATTAGATTGCTGCGTGTGGAAACAAATATATTTTCTTTGGTTTTTCAAACTTCATGATTGAACAGGCCGAATACTTAGCGGAGTAAATGAACCATGAAACCATGGGAATAATGTATAACCTGGGGTTAACTGTTCTAAACTTCAGATCTTTTATATGTTTCTTTAAATTCTTTATTTTTTCGTTTAAGTGTTCTTAAATGCATTCCTTTTTATAACATCTTCTCTAAGTTTAGATATGTACACACTACACAGCCTATTGTCAAGTCATTTCTTCTTAAATTAGGCATCAAGTAGCCAAGAAATATGTAGACCAGAACCCTACAAGTGTAATGCAATTTCTGGGATGAATGTGAACAAACTTGAATACAAAAGGAACTGTAAACTTCCCACAAACTCTGATTTACTTATCCCAATACAATGATGGATGTAAAACTTTGATATTTTAAACTTTGAACTTTTTTAGCACAAAATGCATATATTGAAACATTAAATCTGGCGAGTTATCAGTTCCTTTGTGCAGTACATAATAATACATGCAGTACACAGGCCTTGAGATCTATCTAGGGTGCACTTTTTGTATTACCTAATCTAGAGAGTGCACTGTAAGAAAAAGTGCTATTTTCTATTATTTACAATAAAGAGATGTCCTAATACGTCTGCACAAAAACGTAAAAACAAACCATGTACCCTCTCCTTAGTTCTATTCTTATTGGAAACCCTGATACCCTCTCCTTAGTTCTACTTTTATTGGAAACACTGTCCCACTCTCATTAGTTCTAATCTTATTAGAAACCCTGTCCCCCTCTCCTTAATTCTACTCTTATTGGAAACCCTGTCCCCCTCTCATTAGTTCTACTCTTATTGGAAACCCTGTCCCCCTCTCCTTAGTTCTACTCTTATTAGAAACCCTGCCGCTCTCTCCTTAGTTCTACTTATATAAGAAACCCTGTCGCCCTCTCCTTAGTTCTACTATTATTACAAACCCTGTCCCCCTCTCTCCTTAGTTCTACTATTATTGGAAAAATTTTACCTGAGTGTATAAACTGTAGTTCCCACGGGAGTATTCTCAAACAAGGAGAAACCTTGAAGATCTCCTCCTTCTAGAAGACGGGGCTCCTGGTTACCTCTTACCCCTCCTCCTACTCCTCCCCCTGCACCATATTAACAATAACAAAATTCAATTTTGAATAGACAGAAGACAAAACTTTTGGATTTTAAACCTGGAACTTATATTAAACTTTGAAAATAATAATTTAATGATTTAAATATTATTATTTGTTTCCTTGAGATTGATTAATAATTCTCGGATCCGGCTGCTGAGCAAATATACATTGCAGTACACTAAGTGTACACAATAGCAAACAAACTAAAGTTGACATTTTAGGTTCAGCAGTTTCTCATATTAAATATATCCACCTAAAAATAAACATTGGATATATAATTTAAGTAAAACCTGGAAGTAACATTGATAATTTAGATTTTACACGCTTCCTTAAATATTAAATCACTTGTTTGCTCTCTAGAATATGGACAAACTATATTGCTTAACACACCCTGTAGTCTGTACCCAATATACAAGGCATAGAAATCTCCGAAAAATTTCTAGAGGGGGGTCTAGTTTTGTAGATTAGAACAAAATATTATTGATTTCTGTGTAGATTGAAACAAATTTGTTCAGTATTCATATACGGAGAAAAATTAAGAATTAAATAAAAAATTTCAATCTTCTTACACTCCCCCCTAAACCAACTATCTTCTCCTTTCGAACAGGTAGTACACATAACGGGTGGGGTGGTGGTAGGGGTAGTTGTGGCCGTAGGCGCTAGTGCAGTTACCTGTCACAAGATAAGACGACATTCAGAGAAATCACACAGACTACGAGAAAGTGAAGTGGCGCGGATTAAAATAATTAGAAAACAAGGCAGCCATGCAATTACATTTGCGACGCTAAAAGTAAATTTAGCGAAATTGAAATACATCTATAGTACCTTTATCTAGTCTTCCTTGCGTTGCTCCATAATTATGTACATAATAAAATGTACTGCAGTACAAAACATTCACATCTCTTGGAGAAAATAAAAGCATAAGAATACTCAAAGCTCTCTTTTATAGAATTAAAAATAAATTTTATTCTGACTAGATTAAATTATATGAAAATTGTTATCATCTCATTTAAACAAGATTTAACAAGATTAAAAATAACAATATTATCCTGAAATGAGGCAAAAAGGTGAAAAACTCTGACATGATTTCATTAGAAGGTCTGTCGCTTTAGTAATTGTAAATTGGCGGAAAAGTCCAAACTAGGACCGCAAAGGTTGGCCCAGCTCGAATATACAATAATACCCCGGTTGTGCGTGGATATAATGCAGATTTTACGACATTTAAAAATTAAAAAAAATATCAAATCATTAAAAAAATTTATACAGCTGAAGTAGAAATTTGGCGTTTAAGAAATTGGAGAAAATTCAATATGATATGGGGAACGCTCTGTAGTTGCCCCTATGGCGGCCCGGTACTTCAAGAGAACTTGAATTTCCGGTGTTCCAGCCTCCTGGCGTATCTTTTATCATGTAAATCCTAGGGATAACTTCTTTCCAACAGCAGGGGTATGCGTAGACGCAACAGCCTAAATTATTCATATTAAAATAGTTCAAAAAATATATTTTTGTCTCCGTATCTTTAAAAATGGCGGATTCAAAGAAAATTTCGAGTAGAGATTTCCGTAAAAGAAAATATGGTATTTCTCTATGAATGTATGAATCCCATATAGACTAGGGCAAGTGGAGGAGCTCAACCCTGTTTTCATTTTATTTCAACCTACAGGTCGTTGTATATTAGGTTGATTGTTAATAATCATCATAATAACAGTATGGATCAAATATTTGTGTCTGGTTGTTCATTAGTTTCCATGTTTATTGGAACCATCTTATCTAGCTTTCAATTTTGAAATTTGCATGCAACAATTTTGATGGGAGCACCGAACCAAATTCACGTTTTATGAGTTTAGAAACAAAATTTTAAGACTGATGCTACACGATTAAAGGCTCGGTGCTTCATCATATTTAGTTGGATGAGCATATTAAGCTTTTATGGACATAAAGCTAATAATTTTACTTACTAGTAGAAGTGGAACATCGCAGGGGTCAACTTGAAGATGTTTACTTATATTCTGGAGTGTAGTGTAGTCAGCTGACACTATGTACTCAGATAGTGTACACGAGTATAGATAGATCTAAACAATATTCTGCAGTGTAGTCAGCTGAAACTATGTACTCAGATAGTGTACACGAGTATAGATAGATCTAAACAATATTCTGTAGTGTAGTCAGCTGAAACTATGTACTCAGATAGTGTAAACGAGAAAAGATAGATCTAAACAATATTCTGTAGTGTAGTGTAGTCAGCTGACACTATGTACTATAATAGTGTACATAAATTGAGTAATGAAAGATCCAAACAATAAATGTGAACAACTTTTTTAGTGCTGTGAAATATGAAATTTGTATACCAGGAAAATACACAGTAGTATGTAGCATCACGTACAGTGAACAATTACAGTGATTTAATCTTTATACCGCAATAAAAGTGTATTTTCCAGTATTTATCTGAGACATTTTATTATTGATGTATGTACACAAGGATTTAGCCGGCCTCATTTGTTGCATAAAACGCGCTAGGTTCAATGTACAATGCACTGGGTACTCTAGATGGGCTAGTGCGAGTAAATATACATGTAGTAAAACCTTGTGCTGGCTTTGATGAATTGGACAGACAATTGGATGAATATTAAAATAAAAAAGTTTAACCTGCTGTAGCTGATCCTCTAAATAGTTTAAACAATCCTCAGTAGATAAACCTAGGGTTCAAGATATAAATCAAAGATATGAATAGATACTGCAGTACTTGCAGTTTTAAACGGAAAAAAAATCGTAAAAATGTTATGTTAAAAAATGAACAGATCAAAAAATCAAATTTAATTTTTAAAAACTCCACTTTAGTCATAACTTCAAACGACCTGAAGTATGTCAGATTCACAACAGTTCTTTGTATCGCCCTGATTATTTTAACTATATTAATAGTCACCTAGTTCCACAATTACACAGAAGTTTTCAAGTGTGGTTGCCACAAGAGGAGACATAGGAACCGGAACCCCGGATCTTCCAACCACAACCTTAATCAACGTAAAGGAACTGAGTTCCGGTCACAAACTCAAATTTTCTAATCCCTTTATCTTTGCAATTTGTAACATTTAAACCTTTGATATCTCAAATTTAGACTTTTTGAGTTTGAATTATCCACCATTTTAGGTTGCTAAGATATAGGGATACAAATTTAGAGTTTGTGACAAAATCTTCTTATTCATTTAAATACAGTCGTTTAATCATAATTCAGAAGTAAATAAGAAATTACAAATTTCGGTTGGCGTTAATTTTCTGAAAACAATTAAACTTTAAAAAAAATGCAATTTACGGAATCAGACAGACATTATCCGTAAAGAACAGACTTTCTCAATCTCGCTTTTGTATAAAAATTACAATGTTCTGCATTTATGAGAGGAGAGAATATAGCTAAAATATGCTAATACCTGTTGAGCAGAAACTATACTGACTTCATGATTATCAACATCTGCCACTACACATACACACTCATCAGCTAATCCAGATACATGGGAGTTACCAGATACAGCTAACAGGTCATCCTAGATACAAGATAGCAGGTTATCCTAGATACGAGACAGTAGGTCATCCTAGATACAAGATAGCAGGTTATCATAGATACAAGATAGCAGGTCATCTTAGATAAAAAAATAGCAGGTTATCATAGATACAAGACATCAGGTCATCCTAGATACAAGATAGCTGGTCATCATAGATACAAGATATAAGGTCTTCATAGATTTAGGATAGCAGGTCATGATAGCAGGTAACCTTAGATACAATATGGCAGGTCATCCTAGATACAAGATAGCAGGTCATCCAAGACACAATATGGCAGGTCATCATACTACAAGATAGCAGGTCATCCTAGATACAAGATAAAAGAAGCAGTTCATCCTAGATACAAATAATTTATCCTAGATATAATAAAGATGGTAGGTTATCAACTTATTGAATAATTAACCTGAACATATGATTTCCAAGCTTTGTTACTAGGAGAGGAGGCTTGAAGTACACTTCCAGGCATAAACTCGTCAGATAAACAGATCAAGGAGGCCAAATCTTAGCAAATAAATGAGTGATTTAACCTATTGTTAAAAAATATTTAAACCCCTTTCCTGGAGCTTGTGTTATTCTTAAATGACACCCTGTCCTCAAAATTATAATGTATTTGTTTATTCCTATAACCTAACATTGTTATTGAGATCGAGCATGCTCAACTGTTATAATTTATCTGAAAATTTTTCCATTTGTTTACCAGTGTACACTGTACACTGTACAGTGTCTTGCAGCATGAGAAAATTTATTCTAATAGAAATTCTGAATCATTTAGTTAATTTTTCACCCACAAAAATCATTTAAGTGAAAAATAAAAAATGTAATAAAGAACCCGGAATTTTCGTGCAAGGTTTTATATCAAGGGTACAACTAGCTCCCAGAAGAATTTACATCGTCTTTGTATGTATTGTTGTGTATATACCTGCAGGTATAGAGTCTGTGTACTGTACACTGGAGAAGGGAACATGAGTCAGATAAACCTGGTTCAATTCACTCTCACCGAAGAACAAACTTTCTAAATAGTTAGTTTTTTCAGTAACATCATAAGCACACCCTTCGCTCTGACTTTATGCAATAATTTCGTTTAATGAGGCAATTTGATCTAATGCCAAATTTACAGCTGAAATTAAATTGCTTAGCACCAAAATAAATGTACATTTTATTCTGCAAGTCATAAAAAAATATTTTTTTCTTTGATTATAGCTGTGATACCATGTAAAAATCTATGTTACTGAATGGTAAGCTTTAACCTTTTCTGCTGCTTGAGTTGTCGTGATGAGTATGTTTAAATACAGGACTGTTGTCATCAGCTCCCAAGAGAAATCCAACCTTACTCCCTTCCTCCTAGCAAATATGAATCATTAATCCAGGAGAAAACAAACCTTAATCCCTTCCTCTTCAGGAGAAACCCAACCTTACTCCCTTCCTCCTAGCAAATATGAATCATTAATCCAGGAGAAAACAAACCTTAATCCCTTCCTCTTCAGGAGAAACTTCCTCCTAGCAAATATGAATCATTAATCCAGGAGAAAACAAACCTTAATCTCTTCCTCTTCAGGAGAAATCCAACCTTATTTATTCCTTCCTTAAATATGGATAATTTATCCAGGAGAAACCCAACCTTACTCATTCCTTCCTTAAATATGGATCATTTATCCGGGAGAAATGAAACCCTAATCCCTTCCTCTTCAGGAAACCCAACCTTACTCCCTTCCTCCTAGCAATATGAATCATTAATCCAGAAGAAACTCGACCTTACTCCATTCCTCCTAGAAATATAGATAATTTATCCTGGAGAAACCCAACCTTATTCCATTCCTCCTGTAAATATTTATCTTTAATCCTGGAGAACCCAAAGCTTACCCCCTTCCTCATAGAGATTTGGATCATTAATCCAGGAGAAACCTAACCTTACTTCATTCCTCCAAGAGATATATATATTATTTATCCCGGAGAAACCTAACCATACTCCATTCCTCCTAATAATATGGATCTTTAATCCAGGAGAAACCCAACCTTACCCCATTTCTCCTATAAATATGGATCATTAACCCAGGAGAAACCCAACCTTACCCCATTCCTCCGAGAGATATGATCGCTAATGGAGGAGAAGCCCAACCTTTCCCCTTTTCTCCAAGAGATATGATCGTTAATGGAGGAGAAACCCAATCTTACTCCATTACTCCTAGAAATATGGATCATTTATTGAGGAGAAACCCAACCTTAGTCCATTCCTCCTAGAAAAAAGAAATGGATAATTGATCCTGAAGAAACCAAACCCTACTTAATTCCTCCTAGAAATATGGATCATTAATCCAGGAAAAACTCAACCTTACTCCAATTCTCCTAGAAATATGTATGGATCATTAATCCAGGAGCTACCCAACCTTACTCAAATCCTCCTGGAGATTAGTCCAGGAGAAACCAACCTTACTGCATTCCTCCTAGAAATATGGATCATTAATCCAAGAGAAACCCCACCTTACTTCATTCCTCCTGGAGATATGGATTATTTATCCAAGAGAAACCTGAACTTATTTTATTGCTCCTAGATCATTTATCCAGGAGAAACCCAACCTTACTCCTTTCCTCCTAGAGATATGGATCATTTATCCAGAAGAAACCCAACCTTATTTTATTCCTCCTAGAGATATGGATAATTTATCCAGGGGAAACCCAACCTTACTTCATTTCTCCTCATGATATGGTATATTTATCCAGAGGCCGAATTTAAAGAATTTGAGCGGCAGCTTAAATTTAAGCCGCGGCTGAAATATGGTTGGTTTCACTTAATATTGTATTCAATGTTTCAAGATTTAAGCCACAGCTCAATTGAAACCGGTTTTTGGTGGATTTTAGACGCGGCTTAAATTCATTAAATTCGGACACAGGAGAAACCCTACCTTACTCCATTCCTCCTAATGGTATGGCATATTTATCCAGGAGAAACTTAACCTTACTTTTTTCCTACTAGAGATATGGATATAGAGTATCTGATGAAGCTGAACTAGGATATATCTAACCTGAGATCTAGAGAGTGTAGCTGATGAAGCTGAACTAGAATATATCTAACCTGAGATCTAGAGAGTGTATCTGATGAAGCTGAACTAGAATATATCTAACCTGAGATCTAGAGAGTGTATCTGATGTATCTGAACAAGGATATATCTAACCTGAGATCTAGAGAGTGTATCTGATGAAGCTGAAAGATCTAAAGCTTCCAGCATATTTACTTCAGAATGAAATTTCTTGTTAACTGTTGGACTAGACAAACTTTTACCTATATAAATTAACAATCAAGTTCTACTTATTAAATGAATGTAAAAGTAAGACTAGATTTAAATATATGTGTGTTCAGAAAGAGGGTAATATTTATAAAATAGGATTAAGATACCTAAAGGAATCCCTTGTTGTCTGGAACTAGTACATTCTCTCAGTAAGAAGGATTTGTACTCAGTGCTCTCTGTTAAAGATTCTGTTGTTTCATGCTTCTTTTTGTACACCAAGGAACAACGAATAAAATAACTAAAATAAATTAAATTCCAATGGCTGAACGAAAAACTGATGACTAAGAACTTTTGCGGGAATGATGGGAAAAGGAAACAAAAAATAGGAGACAAAGAAAATCATAAAACAGGGAAAATATGAAAAATTTGTTTAAAATAGACAGGCAACAGATGTTCGAAAAGATACAAAATATTTATTGGATTTTAAAGAGAGGAATCATTGAATAATAAACAAACGGACACTGACAGATAGAAAAGTATAAAATATTTGATCTCACCTAAGAACAAATAAAATTCTTTTCGACAATGTTGGTTTTGAGGATAAGATGAATGATTTCGCAAGCTTGACTGGAAACCCCAACATGCCATGCAGTTCTTTATACTGCACTTTAGTAGGATCATACCATTGCTCACTCCTAACAATAAAACAGTTCTTTATACTGCTCTTTAGTTGGATCATACCATTGCTCACTCCTAGCAATAAAACAGTTCTTTATACTGCTCTTTAGTAGGATCATACCATTGCTCACTCCTAACAATAAAACAGTTCTTTATACTGCTCTTTAGTTGGATCATACCATTGCTCACTCCTAGCAATAAAACAGTTCTTTATACTGCTCTTTAGTAGGATCATACCATTGCTCACTTCTAACAATATAACAGTTCTTTATACTGCACTTTAGTAGGATCATACCATTGCTCACTCCTTACAATAAAACAGTTCTTTATATTTTAGTAGGATCATACCATTGCTCACTCCCGACTATAAAAGTTCTTTATGCTGCTCTTTAGTAAAATCATACCATTGCCCACTCCCAACAATATAACAGTTCTTCATACTGCACTTCAGTTGGATCATACCATTGCTCACTCCCGACTATAACAGTTCTTTATATTTTAGTAGGATCATACCATTGCTCACTCCCGACTATAACAGTTCTTTATTCTGCGCTTTAGTTGGATCATATCATTGCTCACTCCTAACAATAAAAGAGTTCTTTATATTTTAGTAGGATCATACCATTGCTCACTCCTAACAATATAACAGTTCTTTATACTGCTCTTTAGTAGGATCATACCATTGCTCACTCCTAACAATATAACAGTTCTTTATACTGCACTTTAGAAGGATCATACCATGCATTGTTCACTCCTAACAATAAAACAGTTCTTTATATTTTAGTAGGATCATACCATTGCTCACTCCAGACTATAACAGTTCTTTATGCTGCTCTTTAGTAGGATCATACCATTGCTCACTCCCAACAATATAACAGTTCTTCATACTGCACTTTAGTTGGATCATACCATTGCTCACTCCCGACTAAAACAGTTCTTTATATTTTAGTAGGATCGTACCATTGCTCACTCTCGACTAGAACAGTTCTTTATGCTGCTTTTTAGTTGGATCATACCATTGCTCACTCCCAACAATATAACAGTTCTTTATGATAATAATCTGGGAACCCATGAGCTGTTTCTGAGACTGGTAGTACATGAGAATTGACAGGAAACTAAATCTTAGGGGTTGAGACCACAAAGATGACATGAGCGGCTTTAATTTGTTTTATGTGAGTTTCCTTTGGGAATGATTGCATTAAATATCCAATTCAATTTGAATATGATTAAAGAAAGTCACTTATTTGTTGAAGAGAGCAGTCAGATTTGTTATAAAGTTCTAAGAGACAATACCACGGTGATTGTGGCATCCCAGCCGTGGAGATGGTTTCAGCTTCAGGGTTTCGTGAATGCATCTAGGGCGATTAAGTAGTTGGGTCCGGGCAGGTAATGCAGAGTTGGGAAATAGGTTCAAGAACAGGTTCGGATGTACCTATGTCTCTTGCCCCTGGTGTTTAGCTAAAGGCAGACTGGTTGAGTCATATGTGATCCTTGTCTGCCAATCTCTGGCCAGCCATCGCAAAGATTTTGAAATCTTAGATTTTCATTCAAATGCTGTCAACCATGGGAATAAACTTATATTTCAGGTACTCAGTGCTTATCTTGGGGGGATGGGTCAGACCCATTGGTCATACTAGAGAACATTGAAATAAGTTATGGAACGATTATTCCACATGGAATTGATCCGGAAAACTCGTCCTGTAAACTTTTTCACCAGGTCCCACATAGATCTTTGTAGCATCTCAATTCAGTTAAAAATGAATCCGCTGTTAGTTTCCCACAGTTATTATTAATGAATAATTCTTAACTACTTCAGAAAAGGTTAAGTAAGACCTTTAATAAAGAAGATCATTAAGAAAAAGAATAAATAGTATGTGAATTTATAATCTTTAACTATTCAAAAAAGTAGTTAAATGACTACCTGAATTGATCCAACCCCTGAACTGCAGGTTTATGAAGCATATTAACCCCTGGTTTACTTCCTGGCATCACTGTTGATACCCAGCCAAGATGATGAGTCAACACACCTAGGAGAAACCATCTCTGTTTACAAAATTGAATAATTCACATAGTTCAGAGATTGAACCTGCAATGACGAAAAATAAATACTAAAATTCAACCATTGATAGATCAGTTAACTGGCAAAAGCTCTTACATTTTATTGCTTATGACTTTTTTCTAATTACAAATCTTATTAAGCTTATAAATTCATATTAAGACTTTAGCTCTAGAGCTTAACATCAGAGCTTGTTAAATTCTTTTATGTTCACATTTAAATACCTGTCAGTAATGTTGAGAACATAAAATTTGTTTCTTTTGTGTCCAACAAATTCTTTAGTAGACATATATCTTGAACTAGTTGATTTGCTACATTACTAGATGTATTATCCTAAATATAACAAATATCATGAACTGGTTAATTTGCTACATTACTAGATGTATTATCCTAAATATAACAAATATATTGAACTGGTTGATTTGCTTCTTTACTAGATGTAAATCCTAACTATAACAAATACCTTGAACATATTAAATATGTCTTCCAAAATTTTAGAAATATTTTGTTGCTTCATCACTAAACATCTTGTTTAAAATGGGAATTAATTTTTCAATAACACATTTAGCAGTGGTTCCCATAATTACTGATCTAGAAAAGTCTTTATAGTGCCTGAATAGTTAGTTGCCAGGCAGACATCTTAAGTCGTGGTACAGAGAACATGTTATTAATCATCCTGTTTGTACATACCTATTACACTTTTTTAAATGCAAATAAATACATTTTACATCATGTTCATAGATTCATTTATACAATCTGTTGTCATATATTATATCATATACCTAGAGATGGACAGCATGTTTATGTTAATAAACATCATTTTTCTGAGCAAACTAAATTTTCATTATTGAATGATCTTACTCAATTAAATTTTATTGATCAAAAGAATTTAATATAAACCCATTTTATTTCTATAATTTGAACAAAAAACAAAATGAACTTATTGTATTAATTTACTTTTTTATATTAATTATGTATACCATACTTCAATTGATAAAAACAAAGTAAGTAGTATGTTCCTAGTGCATTCTAAATAACCATTGTAGACAGTAACAACAAACCTCTTCTTCCTTATGTAAGCCTGCAAATAGGAACTGATTTTTTAATTAAACATAACTCACAGCAGTCAAGATATTTTGTCAAAACTATTCAATTTCAAGTTCAATTTTTGACTATTGACTTGTGAGACCGGACTGGCTTAAAATCTATTTGTAGTCCTTGACATAAAGAACTCATGATCAGTAGTTTTTTTAGAAGATTCAATAAAGCAAGAACTAAGTTGTAAAATTACATCAATCAAAGAAAGAATACACTGGTAAATCAAAGTCACATAATCCCTGGAATATAAAACTTTTAATTCATAAGTAACTTGCTGCAATAAATTAATTACCTGCTGGACCCTCATGAGTAAATGAGAGTATATGTCCTCTACTATAGATGAATGAGCGAGGAAAATATTGATGAACTCTGAAGTTGAGAACTCAACTATAATCCCTAATCCTAGCAGAGCATTTTTCCGTCCACGTTTTGATATTCTGCTAGATAAATCAGAACCTTAACAAATCTAAATTATAATTTTTACAATATAACAAAAATAGATTAACTGAAGATGTAAAAGCAAAAAAAAAGGGAACAAATGTAATGCTAGGAAAATGTCACAAATGGACAATATTTATGAATGAATTCAAATTAAAGACAATGTTGGAAAAATATCATCATGGTTTGTCCCGGTAGACTCAATAGTAAAGACAGCTTATTGTATCTGGTTCGGCCAGCTAGATAGGCCATTTACAATCATACTGACATTACAAGGTATGTTTGGTCAGCATTTACAATCATACTGACATTACAAGGTATGTTTGGTCAGCATTTACAATCATACTGACATTACAAGGTATGTTTGGTCAGCATTTACAATCATACTGACATTACAAGGTATGTTTGGTCAGCATTTACAATCATACTGACATTGCAAGGTATGCTTGGTCAGCATTTACAATCATACTGACATTATAAGGTATGTTTGGTCAGCATGTTTTTCTTTTTAATTTTCAACGATGTTTACACTTTTGATACTTCATTTCAATCACCTTCTTTATTTAAATCCAAATCAATTTTAGAAAATAAAAATTTCATGAATTTAGTCTTTTAGAAACTTTTAATACATTATAACTTGTCAGCCCTTTGATCACAATGTCAGTTCCGACTTTGAAAATTTGAGGCTTGAATTTTCCATCATCTTTTGAAATCCTATGATGAACTGGTGTGCTTGAAAGTATTATAATGTTTTACATTACTTTTGATTTAGTTCTCACTTCATAACTTGTTAGGGTATAACATCCAAGATGAACTGGTGTGCTTGAAAGTATTGTAATGTTTTACATTACGATTTAGTTCTCACTTCATAACTTGTTAGGGTATAACATCCAGATGAACTGGTGTGCTTGAAAGTATTGTAATGTTTTACATTCCTTTTAATTTAGTTCTCACTTCATAACTTGTTAGGGTACAACATCCAAGATGAACTGGTGTGCGTGAAAGTATTAAAATGTTTAACATTCCTTTTGATTTAGTTCTCACTTCATAACTTGTTAGGGTAAGTTTTTGCTGTTTTCCATCTTGTTACAGAAGATTTTTTCTCCTATCATAAGTTGTCTGGTGGAATGCCTTTTTAATTCATTTGATACAAATATGGCGAAAGATAATCAATGACTATAGGTTGTAATATCTGAATGATTTGTTTAAAATTAAATTGATTTTTTTACGGTCTAAGTCGCATGTTGCATCTTTCTGAATTTGTATGGACACTACGTTCTTCGGTATTAGTCGTTTTTAACAATTTTCTCCTTATAGACGCAACAGATAGAAGTAAGATTAGTAGCGATCTAAAGCGCTTTTTTATCGCATTAAGCCTATACCCCCTTTCATTTTTCGCGAACACTCCCTTTAAGAACCTAGAAATATGATTTACCTGATTTATATGAACTATCTCCCTTTTGAAAGGATGATGAAGGACTTACTGGTAAACTGAAAACATCTGAAGATTCTCTAGAAAGGTTTATATCAAAGATGGAAATGAAAATACATAAATAAAAAAATATTCACACCATCAATTATATATGAACTCTTACCCTGTTTCTTTAAAAGACAAATTAGGTTCAACTGCTGTGAGGAAACGTCTCTGTAGGCTACATAGGCTGCCATAGTCAGGAATATCAATATTTGAGGATAATCGTCTAAACAGGTTTAGATAATAGTTTTAAAAATAATATTATAGATGTGTTATAAGACAGATAAATACTTTTACATTATCTACATTACTTTACAGGTAAGTTCAGAGAATTTAAGACTAGCAAGGGTTAGGTGACATGGAAACGCCTCAACACGGAAACGACTCAACACGGAAACGGATCAAAAATACGCGGAAACCCCTTAAAAACCGGTTTTTTTGAGGCATTTCCGCGATTTCTTCAAATTTTTCGGAAATCCCTCTAAATTCAAATTTTGAGGAGTTTCCTCTTTTTTTTGATCGATTTCCCAGAATTGTATATCCGTTTCCCCTTTATTTTATTCAAATATTTTAGAGGGATTTCCCAATATTTTTGAGGGGATTCTATCAAAAAAAAGAGGAAACCATTCAACTCTAAATATTGGGAAACGGATACAAAATATTCGGAAATCCCTCAACAATTCTGAACTTTTGAGGGATTTCCTTGAATTTCTAAAAAAACGGAAATGCCTCAAAAATAATTTTTGATCCGTTTCCGTGTTGAGTCGTTTCCGTGTTGAGGCGTTTCCATGTCACCCAAGGGTTACCAAGCTACCTCTGGAGCTATCAAACAACTCAGCTAGAGTCTTTAACATACTCGTAGATATTCTGGACGCCAGTTCTATACAGGTTGAAATTTTGCCTGCCTAGCCTTATCTACAACTGATCTCTTCAAATGGCCACTTGATAAAGTAGTGGGGAGGGGGCAGATCAGAAATTCACAAATATCTATTTATGAAAAATGATCAATTATCACCAGAACTCCTTCTGCTCATTTTCCGTAAAAACTTAAAAGGAGATAATTATCAGTCTCGACTCTCTCTATGCTCGAGACTTAAAAGACTTCTGTAGAGGATATGAAATTACCGAAAGAGGATTATGAAATCCGCAAATCAGTAGCGTTGGATTCTAGACCCAGAGAAGACCTACTCATCTTCCTCTTCTTTTATACACTCGTTATTTATCATGTATTTACATCTTGAAGCAATAAATGTATATTAATTATTTACCTTGCATAGGATTGTTCTCCTGGTTGGTTGAATACTGATGCATCAATATTGCTGGAGCTGGGGAAGGATGGAAAACATCCGGAGTCCGCTACATTTTTTAAATCTTCAATATTAATAAACTATTATGTTTCCAAGTATAAATCAATTTCTAACTAATAAATTAAAGGGACTTTAAGCATAATTTTAAGTGACCTTTAATGCAAAGATGACAATGCCCGATTTACAATGGTACCCGTAAAAGCTTTGCCTGATCAAGTATGAATTAGATAACAGATATGCAGTTTTTTGTCTATTTAAACGGATTAATTTCAATGTAGGTTTCTCTGTAAAGTGACTTGCACATTTCTTGCTTGTAATTGATTGATTGATTATCGTTTATTTTATGCCTAATTACTGGCACCTTAAATAAAAATAGAAACAATGGAGATATTCACAGAGAGAAACAATTTTTGATTAAAAAACGATGTTAACTTTCACGGTTTTGATCAGATTAAGGATTGAAGGGTTCAATTTCAAAATCAGGCATCTTTGCATGGAGGGTCACTTCAAAAAAAAGCCTAAAGTTGCTTTAAAGAAAATAAACAAATAAAAAAATATTCGATTTGTCCCCAAGAAACAAAAAAAAGATGCTTTTTTATTTCTTTTCAATAAAAAATTCCTGTATCTGCTCCATTTGTTGGATCTCTCTCCAGTATATCAGGAAACATACCAAACCCCATCTCTTAACAAATATGAAAACTAAATAGGGAATACTCCTTAAAGTTGTGCTCAGGATGCATTCCATTTTGATGTCGCTCCTGGATCCTAGTTAGTTTTGATGTGGATCCTGGATCCGAAATTTTGATGTGGATCCTGGATTGAAATTCATTTTGATGCGGATTCTGGATCCGAATTCATTTTGATGTTGATCCAGGATTGGAATTAATTTTGATGCGGATCCTGGATCCGAATTCATTTTGATGTGGATCCTGGATCCGAAATTATTTTGATGTGGATCCTGGATTGGAATTCATTTTGATGTGAATCCTGGATCCGAATTAGTTTTGAAAATTTTGATGTGGATCCTGGACTGAAATTCATTTTGATGTGGATCCTGGATCCGAATTCATTTTGATGCGGATCCTGGATCCAAATCCATTTTGATGTGGATCCTGTTTCCGAAACTATTTTGATGTGGATCCCGGATTGGAATTAATTTTGATGTGGATCCTGGATCCAAAATCATTTGATATGGATCCTGAATCCAAATCCATTTTTAAGTGGATCCTGGATTCCAATCCAGCAAATAAATATTTCTAAAGTTTGGCCCAATTTCTTATACAAATAATAAACTGGGTCCGCTCTAAAATCTAGAGTTAAACTTTTACCATTATCAGGAATAACTTTATGTAAATCGGCAGTTAAGATTTTTGTGATTTTTTTCTATTATTCTGTTTGAATCCCTAATTTGTTTCGGATCGAGATCCGGATCCTAGGAGCTAAACTAATTAACCCCTCCATCTAAGAAAACAACTCTTATAGAAAAGGCAAGCAAGAAAATGGGAAAGGCTTGCTACTTTTTTGATGGAAAAACGACAATTACATATTAGCTGTCGTTAATAAGTTTGAACTTAATTAAAGGATACTGCAAAAAATCTTTAAAGATGTCAATCCATTAAGTTTGAAATAAAATATATAAAAATAATATATGTAGAAACAAATTCTTTCAAGTTGAGGCTTTTCAATGTATCCTGGCTTTTTATAACAAAAATCTATAGTTAATGTAGTATCTAATTTCACTAATTACTTTACAGGAATTTACTATAAATTACAATAAAATATTTGCCTAAATATGACCACAAATCACCTTCTGTAGCTGAGTTGTTAAAGGATCCTAAAGAGCACCCGAATGAGGAGCCGAGACTAGAATCACTAGATTTCTGTCCCTGGGATAGTTTTGGAGCCTGAACTATACTGCTCCACATTAACATTCGTCCTTCTCCTACAGGAAATTAACTAAATAGTAGAAAAATAAGTATTTGGCAAATGAATATTCAAAATTCGATTTTAACCGAGAAAAGAAATGTTTTTCGGTAAAAAGTATATGCTTTTAACTGTTTTGAACTCATAAAACAGTTAGGAAACACTTACACTACACATCTTTATTATAAAATAATTTCTATTTAAAAACTGAAATTTAAATATAGCTTCTACCTCTCCTACAACTATATCCAATGGCGTATACAAGAATAAATCTAGGGGTAGGAGGGGGCCAAATTTTAACCATAAGTTCAGACAATTTTTGGGCAGATTTTTGATCAAAATGCTCAAATCCTTCTTGCACAAGTCCATGAGTTTTTTTTACTTTAAAAATTTAGGATTTTTTAACAACTTTTCAAAGTGAGAACAAAAAATCGACAAGACATTAAAATACCGTAATATCATTAAAATACCGTAAATATCATTAAAATACCGCAAATGTCATTAAAATACCGTATATATCATTAAAATACCGTAAATATCATTAAAATACCGTAAATATCATTAAAATACCGTAAATATCATTAAGGTCACACAAAAAACGTTTTTTAAAGATATTTGTTAGAGAATCCAAAAAACGTAGATTTTGGGCCTTTAATCAAACAATTTATGAAATATCAAAAGGTATTGAGCATTTCGAGAATCATCTTTTGAAACCAATATCAACATTTTTCGAAAAAGTGGAAAAATTTACCTTTCTAATGATCTGGGTTTCATTAGTTTCTTAATTAGCAAATGAGATTTGATTTGTTTCTACTTTTTTAATTGAATGTTGCTTCTAATTTTTCTATGAAATAGTTAACTTACTATCGATCATTCAATACAATCTGTCCAAACATTGAAAATATTGTTCCTGATTACTAATAGTTACCAATCTAATAGTTTACCTAAAGCGTGAAGTTTGAAGTTTCCAGTATGATGAGTTACAGCAACAGATCCAAGAATCATTTCACTGTACATCTCCAAATACGGTATTTTTAAATTCAAAATCATAACACAAAAAAATCTTGCTTTATATTTTTGTATACATATGAGGAGGGGGAGGCCCGCAGACAGTGAGAGATTGATAACGAAATTCCTCTATTAATGTTGTTTAAAAGATTTTTAAAGTAAACCACATTTATTTTTCAACTATCGATTAAAAAGAATGTTCTCTTATTTAAATATTCACTATTCAGGGTTACCCTTTAAATGGTGAGACTTCAGGGACGATTTGCTTACTCCGTTTTCTTGCATTCAGGGTTCCTTGTAGGACAAAACTGACTTATTTCTGAGCTTAATCTTTTAGAAAACCATCAAAATACTCCATTGTATGTAGAAGCTAAACATCAAGCTTCAAATCGTCATATTTTAGAGCTTTGGGTCGTCTTTACAGTCTCATTGTTTGAGGGTAATCCTGTGTATAGATATAGATATAGATATATATATATATATATATATATATATATATATATATTTCATGACTGATGGTCGTTATTTTATATGTTTCCGACCTCTTTTGTCAGATTGAATAAGAACTTTTTAATTCATCAAGCTTTGGCTTTACCTTAACTTCTATTCCAGGAGGAACATAGAGAAATCCATATCCATCATTTATCTCAGTATACTCCTTTCCTTCTACAATATAAATAAATAGAGATATACCCCTCCCCCCCCCAACAGCTCAAAAACATTTTGCTCTCCCAATCTTTTGATTTTATGATATTTTGTTGTAAAATTATACTTTGTTGTGTATAGGGTGAAAAGATAATTTAAAAGAATAATTAAATTTTTTTCGAAACTCATTCCTGGTTTAATACCGCCGTAAGATTCCCAGTAATCATCCATCTAAAATATTATTATTAAAGGATAATCCTGTCAATGATCCTTTCTAAATATCTTCCAAATAAATATCAAAATTCCCTGAACTATTCAATCTCTGCTTCATAATAAAACATCACAAATCAAGCATTTTCTATTATTAAAACAGAAATGTTTACTTGGTGATATTTGTAAATTTATAAATCAACAACACAAAGCAAAATTATATTAATTCTCTTTTAAATAACCTCCAAGTGACAATTCATTCAAAATATATGAAGTCCAAGAACTCATCTAGAAACAAGAAAAGGTAAAATTAATGCAAAATTACTGGTATAACTTTGCAACCTGGTGGCTTTTCTTATAGATTTTACCCCCAAGTATGAAGGGCAGAATTCAATTGGTTACATATTAGAAATGCAGAACTCAATAGCTCTTGAAATAAGAAGTTATGATTGAAAACATGCAAAATGTCATAAAATATACTTTGATTTGTCGTGATTTAGAAGACAAATTTAACTCACCGTGATCCAAAAACTCCAATCTCTTACGTAAAAAGCGATGAAAATTTTGCAAATCAATTTTAAAAAACTAAAGCAAAAAAGTCTAGAATGTACATGTTGCGTCACTTTAAATTCAATCCAGTCTTACAACCCTTTCAAAGCAGCCTGGAGATATGGCAACTTAAGATTAACTTTACACTGAAGTTATTTACATAACTTTTTGATATACGGGAGAAAAACAAGATTTTTTTTATTTGAAGTTAGTTTTGGTTTCAAGCCTATCATGTCATTACCGTTAATTCTTTCATCTCTTTCTTCTTCCCTACATGGGTGAGGATCTTGTTCAGTAAAGCCATCAATGACCTTAGCTTGATCCTCTACAGGCCTACAGGCCTAGGAAGGATCCTCATCCAACATTTTATCTAACATAAAATCATTCTTTAATAAGAATAAGTAAATCATAAAAACAAGTTGGTTTAGTCTTTTCTTTTATACACAAACATTTATGTTTACTTTTATACATAATCTAGTTATCATTATGTCTCATACATCACAATACATCATTTAAGATTACTGCATTTGTAAAACAATTATTTATAAAAATCCTGTTATAAAGCCAATTGGACCAAACAGCAAACTAAACATGAATAAATAAATAAACAACGAAAAAACAATAATTCAGATCATGAACTCTTGTTTTATGAATCTACGGATTAACCATTGATCTTCATCATGTGCAGATCTAAGGATGAATTTAATCCCTCTTGGATATCCTGTGGTAGTCATAACCTGCAGGGATAGCTAAAACTAAGGGATCAAGCACGTATCTTTCAAATTTGAAATTCACAGTGGATATCGAGATCAAGTGTTGTATGAAAGCGTCATTTCAAACAAAAGTTTTGACTTCAGAGCTGAAAACTTTAGAATGGTGGATATCGGGATTAATGCTTGATCCTCTCTTTTTGATAATCTCAAGATTAGCATAATCTTGCAAGATTATCTTACAAGTGTATGAAAAACGATAAAATTCAAATTAATATTTAATCATCTGAGAAACTGTAGCAGCCAATCAGAGAAAAGCGGGCAACCAATGAGAGAACAGAAATATTCTCATTGGAGAAAACAATTAACGGATATCCAAGGAGAGAGAAAAAGAGTGGATTAGGACAAAAATGAAAAGTTTCCACAGTGGATACTCGGATCAAGAAGTCAGGATTAAAGTTTATCCATTCTAAAGTTCCCAGCTCAGATTAGTCTGGTGATTTTTATTTTCTGAAAAGTTCAGTTCTTGTTAAAAAGATAATTTTAATCAGAAATTCTAATACTAATTTCATATTTTCAGTTTAGTTCGGGATACAAATGTTGGCTTTTACATTTTCCATTTTAAGGATCTTGCTTTGTAGAAGAAATAATTGAGGAAAAAGATGAGAATCGATTTTCGTATTGCTCTGCAGGTTTAGGGTCCTTCTGGTGTACCAACTTAATGTGTCTTTTCAAGGTTCCAGATTGTGTAGATTTGTATTCACATCTGTCACATGGAAATATTTTGGAGCCCTCGTGTACTGCTTGTTTATGCCGCCTTACACTTCTAAACAAATATGTTCAAGTTATTTTTATATTTTTAATGGTACCAATAACTTGAAAAACATTTGATTTGGATTTTAAAGACAACATTATTGCCTTATAAAAATAGATTTTTCAAAATTTTACACCATAAGGTTTCAAAGATATAGGGATCAGAAAGTTAGAGTTTGTGACGTCAGTTCATGGTACATCATGAGATATATGCTTAGTCTGTGGTATTCTAATCAGATTACGCTAAATCTCCGAATTCTTATCAAATTACGCTTAATCTCCGTATTCTAATCAGATTACGCTTAATCTACGTATTCTTATCAGATTACGCTTAATCTCAGTATTCTTGTCAGATTATACGCTTAATATGCATTTTCTTATCAGATTACGCTAAATCTGTGTATTCTTATCCGATTACGCTAAATCTCCGTATTCTTTTCAGATTACGCTTAATCTCAGTATTCTTTTCAGATTACGCTTAATCTCAGTATTCTTGTCAGATTATACGCTTAATATGCATTTTCTTGTCAGATTATGCTAAATCTGTGCATTCTTATCGTATTACGCTAAATCTCCATTTTCTTATCAGATTACGCTTAATCTACGCATTCTTGTCAGATTATACACTTAATCTGCATTTTCTTATCAGATCACGCTTAATCTACGCATTCTTTTCAGATTATACGCTTAATCTGCATTTTCTTATCAGATTACGCTTAATCTACGCATTCTTGTCAGATTGTACGCTTAATCTGCATTTTCTTATCAGATTATGCTTAATCTGCGTATTCTTATCAGATTACGATTAATCTGCATTTTCTCAGATTACGCTTAATCTCCGTATTCTTATCCGATTATACGCTTAATCTGCATTTTCTTATTAGATTCTGTTTAATATGTTTATTCTTTTTTAGATTCTGCTTAATCTGCGTATTTTTTTCAGATTGTACGCTTAATCATGATATGATGCAAACTCTGCGTAATCTCTCTAAAGTACTCAATAATATTGACCTGATCCATTTAGCCTTGAAACTGCAGAGGTCACAGGAGAACTTGGCTCCGTCCACAAACCTAGCATTCTGCTTGATTATTCCACCTTCATCATGCATTACCTAGCACATAAATGTAGTCTTTAGCCATTAAACACTAACTTTATATCTAAAATTTCAAAATAATAAACTCTGTTTGTCTGCTTGTCTTTATGTCAGATCATAACTCATAAACACCTTTACCGATTTGCTTTAAATTTTGATTGTGGAACTTGGTAGAACCACGGGAATGTTTTCCAGGCAAAGCTGGGTTTCCCAAGATATTCTCTAGATTTAATTTAGGTTTATGTGTATTATATATATACATGCATCTTTAAGAAAACATTCTTAAAGACAAAAGAAAAGATTGTGACTGATAGAGCATGGACTCCATATTCAAATATCAATGTATATGATAAAAATATGTGAAAAAATCTTGACTGATATGCTAGCATGTAACACTGGACTCAATATTCAAATATCCATGTATATGATAAAAATATGTGAACAGAGCTTGACGGATACAGCATGTAACACTGGACTCAATATTCAAATATCAATGTATATGATAAAAATATGTGAACAGAGCTTGACGGATACAGCATGTAACACTGGACTCCATATTCAAATATCAATGTATATGATAAAAAATATGTGAACAGAGCTTGACTATTAATATTATTTTCACAGAATCATGATTAAATGGAGTGTTCATTCCAATTATCTGTTATTGAGAGATCGCCTTTTACTTTTTTCTCTTCATAAGATAAACTAATAATGAAAAAATAGACATATAAAACCATAAACTGGATAGAAATTAAATACGAATCTAAAAAGTGGTTTCTAGCAAGAGAAAAGCTACCTTGATGTGTCTTTTCAAGCTGGCATGTTGTGAAGTTTTATAATCACACTGATCACAGAGGAAAGAATTTTTCCTATCTCCGTGTACTGTTTCCCTATGCCTACAGGAGAAATATAAATGTACACTCTGAACTGTGGGAATATATTGGCAGCTTTCCAACTGCTCTTCAAGGGTGAATACTCCAAATTTGTGGGGAAATTAAAGAAGGGGAAGGGATTACATTTCCAAAAAAGTAATCTTTAATTTTCAATTGAATATTTTTTTTAATAATTTAAAGTATGTAGAATGTAGATTTAGAGAATTGTAAAATTTTATAGATTTATATATGGCAAATCTATTTTGAGGATGGCATAAATTCTAGATTTCAAAAAATATTGTAGAAAGTTATAAACTAATTTGTATGCACAGATTAGATTTAGCGACATAAAAAATTGACAGACTTGATGAAACATTAATAATAAGTATTTGGTAAATTTTCAGATTGTTTAACTTAATTATTTTACCCCCTTTATATTTACAAGAAGAACTACCTGGCCACACTTCTCTCCCATTTTGCTGTGAAGCTGCACTGCTCACAGTGATATTGAGAACCTAGAAATACATGGAGTTTCATTAAAGGGAGTGTTCGCGAAAAATAAAAGGGGGTATAGGCTTCATGCGAAAAAAAACGCTTTTGAACGCTACTAATCTTACTTCTATCTGTTGCGTCTATAAGGAGAAAATTGATAAAGACGTCTCATTCCGAAGAGCGTAGCGCCCATACAAATTGAGGAAATTGGAACATACGACTTAGACCGTAAAGAAATCAAATTAATATCAAACAAATCATTCAGATATTACAACCTATAGTCATCGATTATCTTTCGCCACATTTGTATATATTTGATATTTCATACTAGTTTTGATTTTGTTTTTTAAAATAATATTTAGCTTACAACTTGTTTTCGAACATTCCTGGAAAATATGAAAATGTCGTCTTCATTACCAAAAATCCTCGAAACAGGAATAAATGTTTTTATAAGTAACTCTCAGATAATAACAATTAAAACATATTATGAAAAATCAACTATATATAAATGTGGCGAAAGATAATCGATGACTATAGGTTGTAATTTCTGAATGATTTGTTTAAAATTAAATTGATTTTTTTACGGTCTACGTCGTATATTGCAATTTTCTCAATTTGTATGGACGCCATGTTATTCGGTATGAGACGTCTTTATACCAATTTTCTCCTTATAGACGCAACAGATAGAAGTAAGATTAGTAGCGATCAAAAGCGCTTTTTTATCGCATTAAGCCTATACCCCCTTTCATTTTTCGCGAACACTCCCTTTAAGCATGAGAATTAGAAGAAGTATCTAGCTCTTTTTCTACATGTATTAAGTAGTTACTAGTTATCTCTGTTTGTCTGCATGTTTGTATGTTCGACGATATTTATAAATCATGAAACCATCATTGACAGATTTGCCTAAAATTCGGTAGAACAACTTGAATGTTCTTAGCTTGGTTGAAAGGGAAACGGACTTTAAAAGGGAAATTTTACAGACAAAGCAGTATTCCGAATCAATGTCATGAATTTCAAGATTTAGAAATCTGTTAAATATAATTGAGTTATTATAAGATTTTTTTCTTCCATTGCCGGATTTAAATATTTCTCTGTATTGTGTATAGAAGGTTTACCTTCATGAAGAGAATTAATGTGATTGTTTAATGTATTCAGGTCTGCTGCTAAATATTCACATTGATCACACATTATCCTGAACAAATGATATTCTTTAAAGATCTTACAGCAGGACATGATAATATGACTGAAGATTGATTAATAAAATAATTGCTAGGTTTCTTAAAAACATGCAGACAAATGTTTCTTTATAAATTGTGAGGATAAATCAGCGGTTAGTCCAAATATAAATTTATTTGTATAATTCAGTAATCGGTGTGCTATCTCTCAGTAATCAGTAATCGATGTGCTACCCCTCAGTAATCAGTAATCGATGTGCTACCCCTCAGTAATAATCAGTAATCGATGTGCTACCCCTCAGTAATCAGTAATCGGTGTGCTACCTTTCAGTAATCAGTAATCGATGTGCTACCCCTCAGTAATCAGTAATCGATGTGCTACCCCTCAGTAATCAGTAATCGATGTGCTACCCCTCTATAAATAGAGAGTCACATGAAAGTACGTCTCCAAGCCCATTAAAAGTGTTCTAAGGAACTAAGTTTTTGCCACAAACTCTGATTTTCGAACACCTATATCCTTCGCAACACTATGTCGCAGACCTTTGATATTTCAAACTATGAATTATGTTAGATCAAATCGTCAAAGTTTGAAATATCAAAGGTTTACACCATCATATTACACAGATATTGGAGTTAGAAAATTTGAGTTTGTGGCAAAAACTCACTTTCTTTGAATGCCTCCCCCAACCCTTGCTATAAAAAAGCAACAACAAAAAAGATTCAATGAAATTTGAATTGTGAGGTTGACCGCTACTGAACTGTGACTGTCTAACCTATATCCATTGTGAGAGTGTTGATGTCTTCGCATTCCCCTTTCAGATAGTGTTGAGTATTCACAGACATCACATTGGTATTTAGAATCTAAGAAGTTTTAACTTGATTTAAGAACTAATGAGAACTTTTTAAAGAGGAGGCATCTTTTTTAATTGAAATTGAAAAACTAAATTACATTTAAGAATTTTGTTCATTAACTTTTTAAGCAAAAAAATACATAAATAACTGACCTGCGTGCATAGTTTGCCTATGTATCGTTAGATCTCGTTTCAGATTAGTTTTAAATTCACAGACATCACATTTGTGCTTTTCTTTAACTTGGCTATCTTTCTATAAAGCAAAGAATGTTTCGAATAAAATAAAAATTTTAAAAAAGAGACAAATATTTTTTTATTACGTTTCTACAATATATCTTTTAATATTCTAGCCTTCCTTTTCTCCATCAACAGAATACAGTTCTAGAACATTCACGTCCATCAGGTTGTCAACAAACTCTTCATCGTCCAGCTCAAATTCGTCCTTTTCGTTCCGATGTAATTCCTCCATTTCCTGAGGTTTTGCCGATTCTGAATCATCTTTTTCAAATGAGAACTCTTGGTTAAAGACTTCATTGTATTTTGCGAGTAAATCACTAAAAACTCCAACATCAAAATTATTATTTTATCTTAACTACGATAAAGATCCTTACTCAGACTTAAATGCTTTGCCTTTGCGAGATTTTAAATTGTAAAAGACAAACAACTTTACGATAAATTTTGCCACGAAAATCATTTAAAGCATCAAGAGCTGAGACACCTGGCGGCCAACTAATCGGCGTTTTAAGTGCCTTGTATATCAAACAAATAAAAAATATTAAAAAGTATTAACTATATACAAACGCGTCGAAAAAAAATCGATGATTGTGGTTGTAAAATCTAAATAATTTGTTCGGAATTAAATTGATTTTACGATCCAAGTTGAATTTTGCAACTTCAGAATTTGTATTGCACGTTCTTCGGTATGAGTCGTTTTAAACCAGTTTCTCCTTATAGACGCAACAGATTGAAGTAAGATTAGTAGCAATCACCATCGAATATTATTCGACGTTAGCCTATATATAATATATATATATATACAGCCCCCGTTAATTTTTTGCTAACATTCCCTTTAAATATTCAAATTTAAAGAGAAACGAATAAGATAAAATAATCTTTTTAATTCCTTGCATAAATGTCCGGTATAATCAAATAAATGTTTCCGGGGTCTTCTAATTGTGCTGTATTCAAATAACTCTGAACCAATAAAATTAAATTTAGAAGAATTTGTTGTCAAAAACTCAGATTTTTCAATCTATGCTGGGCAACCCGATGTCGTAGACCTTTGATTACTAGTCTGTTCAATAAAAAATATCAAAGGTTTACACTATCAGGTTGCAAAGATATGAAGAGTAAAGAAATTAAAATAAAAGTTAAGGTCAGAAGTCCAGTAATAAAAAGATTTAAACAAAAAAGTAAAGACAACCACTGCTATTAAAAAATGCTTGATATCATCCACTAAAGATCAAAATTAATATCAATATGAAACTCGGAACATTATTTAACAAAAAGGTAAATTTACTTTAAATAAAAAATTTGTAAATTCTTAAATCCAATTTTATTTAGATACAGCAGCTACCTATATCAAGTTTGAACAGCTGAGGGTAGATAAGGGATATAATCAGAATATTTACTCTAACATCACCATCCTTCATAATTGCCAATATTTTGGGATTTTTTTCAATAACATTCGTGAATTAAACATTTAAAAAAGTCGAAATTAAGTTTTCTTCATCAAATTTAATGACAATTCCTTGCAGGTGATACTTGTATTGAGATAATGTGATGTTCTAGGAAAGTAAAAAGAATATTAAAAAACATAAAGACATAAAACAGAAAAAAAATATTGCTACATTTTTATTTTGATTTGTTTTGACTATTGTCAAAACGGCTTAACCAATTTCCAGTGTCTAACAATTCTAAAAATTTGGTGTATCAAAAATCGAAAAATTTGATAAATATTTATTTAAAAATGAACAAAAAAGAAAGTCATTTAATTTTTAGAAAATCCGATTACCCTGAAGATATTATTTATCAAAATATTCTTTTCTTCCATTTACACAATTCAAAATTTCTTATTTTATTTTACAAGAAGATTGAGGGGAATATATTCTGGCCGGAGTGTTGTGTTTTTGTCAAGCAATAGACTAATGATGGGCACTGATGAACATAACATTTGCACAGGCTGATCCAATTCAAGTGCCGAAAGGATAGCACTAGTAAGTAAGGAAAAGTTAAGTAGGAGAATTTGAGAGAGAATTTTTTACGGAGCCAGCGAACACAGAGAACAAAAAAGATAGGAAAGGTTAGATGGAAGAGAGAAGACAAAAGAAACAAAATCAATTCTTAAAAGGAAAAAAAAAATTCCTTATTTCTTTCTTTTTACTTTTTATGACTGACTGAGAAAAGGACAAACGAACATAACTCAATTATGTTTGAAAATCCAGCTTTCTACAAGTCATTGGCAAATCAACGCTTCATGCGATTAACAAAATCATATTATTAACCAAACCAAATAGTTAAGCCTAAGGAAAAAAAGGAAGCAAGATCAGCCCGCGTAAAATAAGTGTTCACTATGGTTTACAGGGTTACCCATAGTCAAGTTTTTAAGACAATGGCACAACACAAAACGTTGGGGTGTATGACTTTTAATTAATCTTGAGCAGAACAAAATAATAGAAAGACTTTGATAACAAACTGGAAATGGATTAATTGATATTTCGTTTTTATTTGTATGCGTGAGCTTGTGCCCGCAACCCTTATCCAAAAATAAATTATGAAAGTTAAAAATTTATCAAAATATTTTAACAAAAATTTAAAAAAATGGTAACAAATGGTAACAAATGGTAACAAATGGTAACAAATGGTACCTTGAAATAGACTTTAATTCTTGTAGTAAACTTTGTTTTCTGAAAAGCTTTATCCCTCGCATTTTCTTCTGAAAAATATAGCAAAATATATTTTTTGCTTTAATTTCAAAATTTTGTTTCTTGTTGGAAAGAGACTTATCATTTAATTATCTTTCTATAACTAGAATCCACATTATTTTCCTATTTTCCTAAAACATTAACAACACCATTTATAAGAAAATTATCAACAAATAAGTTTGCATTATATTACGATAAATATTCTTAAAATTGTATAATGATATCAACTAATAAATAAGTGAACAACGTGACAACAATATCAGAAAAAATAGAAAACATAATTACAAAGTTTGTGGGACTGAGTTTAGGTAGCTTGAGACGGGAAGGATATTTTTCTCCTGCCAGAACCTATTCAAGCATATGTTCTCTTTAACTTGGAGAATCGTTCACTCTCAACGAACTCTGTCACCTAAAAGACAAAAAAGGACGTGTCAGGATTAGTTGATTAAAGTCACAAAACACATGACTTTAGAAAATACTCATGAAATATGTATATAGTGTCCCAATAAATCGTCTTCGTTCCGCAAAAAAACGATAATATGTATAAAAATAACACAAAAACACCATATTCCTCTTATTCTGGAAGTTCCAAAATGTGGTATGTCTGTTTTGCAACTTTGAAAATGAGAAATTACAAATTTTGTACCCGTTTCATTTTCTGTAACCAAAACCTAACTTGAAGCATCGCCATTTTTTAGGTACAAGGACGGAGACGTTCATGTAAGCTCTTAGCTGTAGAATTTTATTTGTCCAAAACAAAGCAAAAGCGTCTCAATAGTTAATCAAACTGAAGTTTATATTAAATTGTAATCTTACGTGTTTTCAAACATGACTCCTTTTTCAGAAGATGTGAGAATTTTATTTAATGAAAATCGTTTTTTTAAGGCAAAGTGTTAAAATTCTGATCATCCATTTAAGCCTTCCCTGAGGTCAAGTAAGGTCCCACAAAAAAATGTAGGTTCGATCAGTTTTGACGTTTATTGGTAACAGGCAGACAAGCAAAGTAAAAATATTTTAGGTTATGCTCTTACCTCGTTTTCCCCATCCTCCGTTGAGAAGATCTCCGTTACACATTTTATAAGCTTTGACATCACGCCACCCCACTCACACAACCTATATCTAGGTTCTGCTCATGGCTGCACTTGCACTATGTCTCCTGATCTCCTCTAGAATCCTCCAGGATGGCACCGCTATATGTCTAATACTTTATAATTTATGTTATGTCCTTGTCTATCTTTCTTTACCATGTCATATCTCTAGCAGTGTCCTTTTTCCAGATACCGATGTACTGAAGACCTTAAGGCCTTTCCATGTCTACTCGTATACAAGTTTGATCCTCGTCTCTTCTCGTTCTTCTGTAACCCCCAGAGGACTGATCCGGAAGCGCACCTGTTGCTTGTGCGGTAGCAGGTGGTTTCTCTCCTTGCTGATCTCCCTGCTCCTCAACTTGACAAGACCGCGCTCGGACTGAACTAGGAGGACATACTCTAGCTGTCCATTATCTAACACTATTCTCTGTATTATTGTCCATTATATAGCACTATTCTCTGTATTATGGTTCATTATATAGCAAGCACTATTCTCTATATTGTTGTCCATTATCTATCACTTTTCTCTGTATTGTTGTCCGTTATCTAGCACTATTCTCTGTATTGTTGTCCGTTATCTAGCATTATTCTCTGTATTATCGTCCATTATCTATCACTATTCTCTGTATTTTTGTCCATTATCTATCACTATTCTCTGTATTAATGTCCATTATCTAGCACTATTTTCTGTATTAATGTCCATTATCTTGCACTCTTCTGAGCAAACTTTACACTTTTCAAACAAGTCTGCGTCAGTTTATTCCAGATAAGTCCAGCTGAAGAACAATCCGGTGTAACTTCAACGGAATTTATGCCAGCTAAAGCAGGTTCCTGACTCCTTGAGATAGATGAGGGATGGACAAAATCGGCTCCTGCTTGGACGGAATTTGTACTTGTTTGGACAGGATGTGGACTGGTTTTGACTGGTTCTGTTCTTTTTAGGAGGGATTCTGGATTTGGTAGGACGACATACATGTTAGAAAACACGTCAAAATGATGTTGAACCAGGGCTTCAAGTTCAAACACTCCTTGAAAACATGTATTTATTTACTAATTTTATAAATTGGTTGATTGATCGATTGTATACCTGTTGGTCACAATATGGCATGAAAGATCTGGCTTCTGTAGCAGCAAGCATGGTTGCAACCCCTTCCTTCTGTCCTTCCCCTGTATACCTATACATTACAAGTACCCAGATGAATTATTTCTATTTAGTACAAATGCCATGTTTACTGAATGCTGATAAATTAAAAGTGAGAGCTTTTTTCATTTTAGCATTGCTGAAATGAAAAAAAAGCTTACAGTAAGTGAATATCACTCTAAATATCATTCTTTGGAAAACATTTATCCCTTGATAAGCCATCTCGGTGAAAGAAGCGCGTGAAAACTTCCAAGAAATCAGAATTATATCCATTAACTGTTAATCTATATGATACTTATGTGTGAATGTAAATATGATTGATGGTGGCTTTCTGTCACTATTTCACGAAAAATCCTCATGTTAACCCCCACCCCACCTGAACCTTCCTCGATTTTTCTCCTCTTCCCTAAAAAGTTAAAAGTATTGAATGAAATCGGGTGATGCATAAAACAAAAACTAAAGAAACTAAAATATAAATAAAAGCACGGAGTTCTTGCAACAAACTCAAATATTCTAACATCTAAATCTTTGCAACCCCGGTCTGTACATAGAAGACACTGCATATGCAAATAGTGAAATGTAAACTGATCAACACGGATAAAGAAAAATCGGACACCAAACTTATCAACGTTTCGACTTATTTTTCATACTTCTTTGAAAAAAAAACAATTTAATTTCCTCAAACATGATTTTTTCCCCTCAGCTCATATCCAGCGATAGTCAACAAGTTTTGGCATAATGTAAGAAAAGTAAATTTTTTAAAAATTTTGTATTCTTAACATTTGCTTTGACCTTGGCAGAAAATATTTGCAAATAACGACCCAAAAACGATGCATCAACGAACGTGTACGGTGTGTATAAGCGGTCGTTTTTGGATCATTTCCCCAATTTTTAATTTTCGAGAATAAAGATGTTGCAAAGTTTAATAGAAGCAAACTTTAAAATAATATAGTTTTGAATCTTGGAAGTTTTTTTGAATCTTTTCTAAGAACGATCTAAAACGATTAACAACACTTTCTGTGTTGACCTACCCTGACCTCAGTTTGAGCTGTAGAATGATGATCTTCACCTCCTCCTACTTCTTCATCATCTGTTTATCTGTCAGGGATCATTTTATAAAAATTATATTTTCTGAAAACTGAAAGAGATACATTCGAGAACTCTCAGCACAATTAAGTTTTTAATATTTCAATCTGAAAACAAATTTTTAAAAAAAATATTTTTGATGCTTTATTATACTAGTTAAATTTTGATATATATAATCAATACAATACAATTTTAAATTACATATTAGTTTCTTTTTATTGGTCAAGTATACAGGATTTGAGACGTTTTATTAAATGCTGACGACATAATTATCACAATGAAGAAATTTCCTACTTCCCGTGATCATTTTACATAATAATATGTTTTCAGGCATAAATAAGATTTTTAAAACGGTTCAGAATATATTTTGATTGACTATATTGTGTAACATTTATCACATTCAATTAAATTTCGGTTGACTTTATATTTCCCTTATTGGATCTTATCTTATTTGTGTGTTTTTTTCTTCTCCCGAGGCTTTAATAATAGAATTAAAACTGGAAGGGAGTATTTTAAAGTAATTTTATTTTCTTCTATTGTTACACCAGTTTGTTGAGTATGAAAAAGTTTTCACATCTCCTTAATTGAGCGAGGTGTTATTAAAAGTTAAGGGCGAATTTTCAGAATTTTAACTGTAAGACCAAGTTCATTTTAACCCAAGCAAAAATAACCAATGGTTCTTTGAATATTGAGCCCAATTTAGTAAATGGAAAGACTAAGAATAAGTGCATTGTTAACTAAAATTTATCTAAGTTAAAATATCATTGTGCTATAAAACATATAATACATATTCTAAGTGTGTTTCAACAGTAAATAGTGGTTCATAATATACATTTAGTTACAAAAATTTACTTTTATATAATCAATTTTAAGCGATATAATATTTTGGTGCTAAATCTTATGCTACAGATTTAAATTTATGATTTTAGGTATTTACATATATTGTTAGTAAGCCGTCAATTGTTAATAATCTTGATGTTTCTACGAATTGTAAAATAAACATATTGATCCGGATAATAAAAATCTGGATCTGATCTCTATTCTCTATGTTCTATATTTATAGAGCAGAAGATGAGAGGTGACCGCCTCGTGGTCGCTCAAGCTGACCAGCCGACTAGTAGTTCTCACGCCTTTCCCACTACAATTTTACATTTTAACATATGGGAGGGAATATTTTTCACAAAATTCCCCTACTGAGAAATTAATTTTTATTTATTATGTAAGACTAAGTTTTGTGTAAACAAAAAGGATTTGAGGAGGGAAAAGTTAAAGTCTCATTTTTATAATATTTTGTATAGATAAAAATAATTTGGCACAGAATGAACTTCCCAAAAATTGAACTCCGAAAAAAAATAAACATCCCAGCCCCCAAGTTAGTGATTTCGGTCCCTATTCCATTTAGATCATCCGGTTCCAGCTCACAAATATTTCCTTATGCTAAACTAATTTTTTGTAAGAAAGTAAAATTTGCGATTTTTTATTTTTTTTTCAATGCTGAACTTGGATTTTTACTAATTCATTATTACACTTAAAATTTGTATTTTGAGACCAACATGTTTTTTTTTACTATCATGATATGAGTTATTGATATTTTGCCACTTTGTTCTTTTACCTGGTAGAGTTTGTTTCAGCCACCTCTTCCGTACCCTCACCACTGATCAGAGATTTGAGGAAGGGAACCTAAACAATGTTAGTTTACTAAATATTCATGTCATGACACATGATGAAATATCAATCATATTCAAATTTTTCTAATGAATAATTTATATCATAAGTACAGGAATCGATATAAATGTAAACCCCATCTTAAAATTTGAGAATATCAAAATATTCGCCCCTTCTTGAGAATAAACAAGTATCCTACCTCGAACAGATTTACAACTACAGAATTCCATCCTTGAGCAGTGTGAAATATATAATCATAAAGCTGTGGCCCATCCACATACCCGGCACTGTACGTGTTGTTTGGATTGGCGTAGGTCGCATGATTCGGAGACAATAAAACCTAAATTAAAAATCATGGATATATGATTTCTTTAGAAATCGCCCCCCCCCCCTCATCTTAGAAAATCATTTTTATCCAATATGTTAGGTATGTTTGATTCCTAACGGCACAAAAAATAGATGTCCAATTCCTAGCTAAAAAATAATGTATGTCCATTGACCACTTCCAAGCTGAAAATAATGGATGTCCTGTTCCTAGATAAAATATAAATGGATGTCCACTTTCTACGGGAAAATAATGGATGTCCAGTCTCCACTTCCTAGCTAGAAAATAATATATGTCCACTTCCTACTCGAAAATAATGGATGTCCACTTCCTAACTGGAAAATAATGTATGTCCACTTCCTTTTGGAAAATAATGGATGTCCACTTCCTTCTGGAAATTAATTGATGTCTACTTCCTAGTTGAAAAATAATGGATGTCCACTTCCTACTCGATAAAAAAGGGGATGTCTTCTTCCTATCCACTTTCTAACTGGAAAATAATGATGTCCACTTTCTACTAGAAAATAATGGATGTTCAGTTCAGTCTGGGTTTCCAGCGAACGAAACGTTTCGCGAAAATATGCGAAAATTTTCGATTACATTTCGTAAACTTTTTCGCGAAATGTCTGATGTCTCTGAGTCGTTCTAATATCTATATTTTAATTTTGTGTTAATTCATCAATTGGGCTCGCGGATAAATCCCTCTTTAAAAATGGGTCTTCTCAAAATTTAGTTTTTTTGGATGAATTTTTTAGAATTATTTCCATTTTGGCATTTTTCGCGAGCGAACGAAATGCGAAAATGAAGCGAAATGGTCATGAAAAATGCGAAATTTTCGCGAATCGATTATTCCTTTTCGCTGGAAACCCTAGTTAAGTCCCTAGCTTGACAAATGAACTGATATTTAGTTCCAACTGAATATATGAATGAATATACATAATACAGTTTCAAACTGGACAATTGAACACATTTTCAGTTTTTAAGAGAATAACTAGAAATGTCAGTAACGTCGATTTTCTAGCTGGACACATTTAAGTAAATCCAGTTTCTAGCTAGATTTTGGAGGGATATCAGGTACTTAAACTAATCTTACCTCAAGATAATGAAAGAACTCCTGCATAGCACTTGATAGTTCACTGGTTAAAGTATGATACGTTGTTTCGTTCATCCTAGGTAATGAGAGAAAATAGCCATTTAGTGAACCATTAATATAACTTTAATAGTTTCTTTTCTCTTCTCACATTTGATGAAAAATTAGAAGTAAGAGAATACCTATTTCAAAAAAATACTTATTTTTTTCCATTATGCAACGATAATAAATTTGACACAAGGTTATAGTGCAAGGAAAGTTAATTGCGTATACTCTGCGTACATGTTGAAACCAGATCTTTCTCGGCGGACTTTGTAAATAAGAATAGATGCATCAGTGTTCTTTTAATATCCGAGGAGGTTAAAAGCATTAAATTTTGATAATTTTAATAATTCACATAATAGTTTCCTATGACTAGAATATTTCATTGATTTTTTTATGTGAAATACGGATCCCATGTCAGGTTCGACATCCGTCTTGTGTTTACATGACCGCTAAAAGACAGTACATTGCAATACAAGATGCGTACACCTCTGAAATAACTTTCCTTGCATTATAACCTTGATTTGACATAAGATTTGATTGGCCAAAACGAAAAATTCGAGCGATTGGTAAGATAAAGATTGATTGCTCATTAGAAGAGTACATGCGGTGTGCATGAGTTCTGTCGAGAAAGAAATTTAAATTTATCCTAGTTTAGTCGATAAGTTTAAGAAATATGGCTCCCTAAAATATTTTTTTTCAAATAATTCCGTTCCTGGAGTTAATTTACACTTTATCCGGGAAGAATGATTAAATGCGATATATTCAATATTGTAAAATAAACCAAGACCGTCGTTTATTTGTAATTTTTCAAACACAAGTTAAATATATACGTTTTTGAAAAAAAATGTCTATAAAGCAGAGGCTATGGGTCGGTGGACATTTTTGCAAAATAAAAGGGCTAGACGGTGCCTGCTCTCTCTTCGTGCGCTCTTAATTTTCCAGGGGGTGGACCTCCCCCCAATTTTCGAAGGAGGGGGATATCTCCCCAATTTTCCCGGGGGTTGGACGTTCCTCTCTATATAAGCCGCCTCTGGGTGGTCATTGCACATTTTAGACGAACAGACTCAAGTTATTAATTTTGTTGGAATTATAATTTTTAAAATCACTAGAACTAGGTATAAGATATAGAAAGAAAATTGGAATACGTTGAACACAGAGCCAAGCCTTTGAAAAATGGAAATTTTGGTTTTTTCGACTTCCATCCCTTGAAATACTGCTTTCACATTTAGAATTTTTTACGACAAGTTGGGTCTAGCCCCCCTTTTAACCCCATCCTCCCAGCCATTGTAAGCTAATTTTTGCTTCTTCCNTGAAACTTCTTGACTTTTAGAAAAGAGTGATGTTTACAGAGCCGGTTCAATTTATGTTCAATTCAATATGCTAAACAAAAATGAAATCATTTGTCATCTATTCTAATCATGAAATCCATTAGAACACCAAACGACCCCGCCCGTTATTGAGGTGTACACTTAGACCCCTAGAAGTGTGATTTCAGCGACTGTACAATTCTAGGTGATTTTGCGTACATAAGCTATCTATGTTTATTTATTTATCTATGATATTAAACAGTTTGTTTGTTTAGTACATACAAAAAAATTAAACGTGAAATCAGTTACATCGGAAATTCGACAATTTGTCCATTTTTTCTGTAAAAAATAAAAATTCAATTATTTTTATTTAACATCCTTAGCCATCAAGAATAGTTATGCATAACATATTTCTTACCAAGAACTGGTTGCATTCTCCAAGTCTGTTCCAATACAGAGAAAACCCAGATATTATTAGAACTGGAGAAGAAGCCAACCTCGCGCTGCTTCTGCAACCCTCCGAACACAACCATGCTGTTTCTAAGAATAATTATGAAGATAAAGGAGTTAACTAAGAACACTATCTTATGACTTCGATAAAAGACTTCAGATGGAATCAAAAAACTAGTAGCTGAAAATTGTACATGTCATACATATGTACTGTGTAGTGTATACTGTACCAGAATGTACTGTACTGAAGCAGAATGGTATAAATGTGTACTGTAGCAAAATGCATGGTATACCTGTGTACTGAAGTAAAATTGTGTACCTGTGTATTGTAGTATAATATTACCTGTTTACCGTAGTATAATGTTATACCAGTGTACTGTAGAAGAATGGTATATCTGTGTACTGTAGTAGAATTGTGTACCTGTGTACTGTAGTATAATGTTATACCAGTGTACTGTAGCAGAATCATATACCTGTGTACTGCAGTAGAATTGTGCACCTGTGTACTGTAGTATAATGCTATACCAGTGTACTGAAGCAGAATGGAATACCAGTGTACTGAAGCATAATGGTATCCCTGTGTACTGCAGTAGAATTGTGTACCTGTGTACTGTAGTATAATATTATACCAGTGTACTGTAGAAGAATGGTATATCTGTGTACTGTAGCAGAATGGTTTACCTGTGTACTGTAGCAGAATGACCGGCTGAAGGAGGAGGCCAGACCTCGCCAGCTCTTGCACAAAGCTGATTCCATCTAGTAGGAGATAAATCAAAGTTAATACTTTGAAAATATATCACATTAATTAGTAAGGAAACTTAATTTTTTCAGCAACAAGCTTAATTTATCATATACTCTTCCTGAATTTAAACAACTAGAAATTCAAGGCGCTTCGCGCCCTTCTTTCTAGCCTTAGAGGGCGCTTCGCGCCCATCTTCTAAATTAGTTGTGAACATGTTCTCTTTGCGTACATCGTAAAACAAAACAAAAATAATTCGCGGATTTTCAAAATTTTTAAAAATTTAATGACGATCGAATTTTGATGGAGACAAATATTTGAAATTTTGATTTTTCATAAACCTTCCCTGGGGTCCCTAGATGTCCCACAAAAAATTTGGGCCCGATCGGTTCAGCCGTTTTGACGTTTATTGGATACAAACAAACAAACAAACAAACAGACAAACAGACAGACAGACAGACAAGCCAAATTTATATATAGATTTGAGCCGCGTTGCAGAACTACCTACCGCCGGTTCAAATTTTCAAAATTAAAGATGTATTAGTATTTGAATCGGTGATTCAGGATTTGAACTAGCGTTAGATAGTTCAGCAACCTCTCCAACTATTTAAATTCTGTCAATGTTTGATCTTACTTGTTATCCTTGATGTTAAAAATATGAAGCTCTGAAAATAGTTTCCAGGTTTGATGAAGAGGATATGGCGAGGGATGAGTCCAGCCTCCGAACAGGATAAGGCTGCTCCCGTGCTCAACCATGCTCGCCAGAGCCTTTGGACTCGGATACGTTCCCATGGATACAACCCTGAGCATGAAATAAGAAGCCAATCAACTAAAATCAAAGTACCATGACCCGTAGGTCATAACACTATGAAAACCAGTCAAGTCAAGTTTTAACAGCTAATATAAATGTTTGCTAAGACTGACTATGGGAAAAGAAGAAAAAGTTAAACTAGTGGAGAAAAAACAGAATATTAATTAAATTAAAAGATATTTATGACAGAAATGACAAAACTAGCAACATAAATAATAAAAATATTAATTAAATAAAAAAATATGTCAGGCTAAAAATATTAATGCATTTAAGAAATGACAATAATAGTGCGCAAAATATTCAAAAAGTCCATAAATAAAAATATTTTGAGTCTAACCTGGTCCAAATCCTGGAGGAAAGATCAAACTGCCAGAGATCGTTAAAGGTTGAGGATGAGCAGGTGCAGCCTCCGAACACAAACATTGAATGAGAAGGAGGATAGTAAACAGAACAGTGAGAATATCTCTTTCCAATATTCCCTAAAATCATCATATTCATCAATCATTAAAAAGCAATTAGTCAGATTTCTTAATTTCTTCATTATATTCGACAATTGATTCAAAAAACTAGAAATCTATTATTAACAAATTAAGTGCTTTGGTGAAAATTTGATCTATTGGTTTGATTTAAAGAAAAGACTAAATATTTCTAAATCTAAAATGGGCGCTGCACTGCATTATGGTGACTGAGGTGTACCAATTATTATTATTATTATTAACAATCAACCTACAGACAAAGTACGACCTGTAGGTTGAAATATAATGAAAACAGGGTTGAGCTCCTCCACTTGCCCTGGTCTATATGGGATCTAGACTGTACTACTTGAAAAGAGTGTACCTGGAGATTCATCTGTATGTACTGAAGTCCATTCCAGTTCTGCCTGAAAATTAAATAGTTCAGCGTAGTTAAAGGGACTGTAAGCGTAATTTAAAGTGACTCTCCCATCAAAGATGGCAAATCCAGACTTACAACTGTACCTTAGAAAGCTTAATCCGGCCCAAAATGGGGTAAATACCGTCGTTTTTCTAACTCGAAAAATGTTGTTTTCTGTGAGTTGCTCCATTGTTTTTTAAAAACTGAAGAAATGTACAAGCATAATCAATATGGAATCCAAAGAGGCTGTTTGCTTGAGGCTGTTGGCGGTTAGGATATCCTTTAGAACCTCTTGTATGACCTTTTAATGGGTTTCCTTTGACCCAAAATGTCTTTCATTCTTGTAAATTTCATGTTTCAAGATCGTCATAAGGCCTGGTCATCACCTGGCCTCCTTTCAACCTCTATAACTTTATTCAGTCCATGGCGCAATTGGGGCTATATCCTGTCGAATTTGCTGGATTTATTGTTTAAACCAGGGGGAATAAACCAACAGGATGAACAGGCCTCCCAAGCTAAATTTAAATCCTTCTGGTATTATTGTTAGTTCTACCAGGTTGTCTTTATCTATTAATGCTAAAATTTAACTCCTCCCCTTCTCTGCTGGGGCCTATTTCTTGCCTTTGGCACCTTGTTCATTTTTTTGTAAAGGTCAGTTTTCAGGTTCTCCTGATCTCATTCAATTCGTCGTTGATGATGACTGTCCTAGCTATAGCGGGTTCTCAGGGGACAGTTTTACAAACCTACCCATGTTTTACAGAATTCTACAACTAGCCATTTTAAGGGCTACATCCACCCCTGTTGCTTCTAAAAGTGATTTTAGGGTGTTAAAGGGGTTCATTGTTATTTCCCTTTAGAGTTTGAGGATATCGCAATCTTTCGCAGTTTTAAACTCCCCTTTAGGATACTTTTTCTGTTCCTCAACACCTACATTTAAATATCCTTGAATTTCAAGAGTACCGTTGTAAATCGGGCATTGTCATGTTTGAATTAGTCCCTTTAAGACCAAATTTTTTTTAGATATTTACCGGCAAAAATCTATTCAAATTTTACATTACATATTTTTCAGGAAAATAACCCACTCCCTGACTGAATATTAAAAAAGAGTATGTACCTTGTTTAATTGATTATGAAAGTTGAGAAGCCTAGAACGAACCACACGTTTACAGCAATCACGCCATCTTCGGCAAACCCTGAATATTAAGTTTTTTTAAACATAAAAAAAACAAAAGTAGGAAAAGGAGATAATAATTTAAAATAACCCAAAATAACATATTAATAATATTAATTTTCTACACAAATCAGGACTTTAAACACTTTTTTCCCAACCAACACAACTTGAACAAAACTTTGTCAGTTCTAACGATAAAGTAATAAAAAATTGATCATAAATCACAGGAAAATTAACGAACAAAACTTTTTAAAATAAACTCCTTTCTAAGAAAACGCTAAAAATAAAAGATAAATGAGAAACGTCTACCTGTAACAGGCCTGGAAATCAGCGTAGGGAGAGATGAGTTTAAAAATATATTCCAATACTTCGTCAGGGAGTTCCGACACGTTGACGGTATAAACTACATCATTGCCTTCATCCATCTCTAATCCTACCCCTCCGTCTACCTCTGCTGGAGGTTCTTCTTCCATTGGTTTATCTTCTGCAGCTTTAACAGATATTAAACCTGGGGTCTAATTCCGGGGGTTCAGCTAGGAATAATCTGGGTAAACACTGTACAACGATAGTATAGGCTGTGGATTTAGAGTTTACTCGTGTGACCATGCGCATTGTGTGCATTTACAACCAAAAAGGAGGTTAAGAGTTTTCAACGCTGAATTTGTAAAGAGAAATGAATTTCTAGGTAGAAGAAGCAGAAAAAAGTGAAAAACTTAAAGTTCCATTAGTCATTTTTCCAAAAAAATCTTTGAAAATAATTTTACTCTTTCATAAATTGTTAATAATGAATATTAATTCAAATACTATGAAATTAAATCCCTGGAATCTATACAAAAAAATATCTGAAGTTGCCTTTGTAAATTTTTGGCCTGGCTCCCAGACTGTCGTCTTCCATTTTTGATTTTTTAATTTATTCCATTCTACGTTAAATCTGAAAAGTGAAAACATGAATGAAAATAGCAACGAAGCGTTAACAAAGAATTTGAATTCTAAATATGAACATGAAGTAATCTTTTTATAAAAGAGAAGTATGATAAGTATAAACTAATGAATGATAAGGGTTGCAGGGTGCAGAATAGTTTCTACTGTTTGCTTGTATCTCTGCTCTTGTACACAATACCAACAGCGCGCAGGTCACGGATAATCTGAGTTGGCAGACGACCCTGAAACAAATCTTACGTAAATGACTCATTATTCTGGATTTTGTGATGAATTTAGTTATCGGATTTGAAAAAAATCTTTGGCAATTACTTTGTACAAACCTAACGCTAACTTTGTAGTTTCTTGAAACTCGCTCAAAAACATTTAAATTTTATTATAAATTAGGTTTCACCTGTACAGAAATTCCGTAGATACCAGGTACATAATCTTTTATTCTTTGCCACTGAAAATAAAGTTGAAGTTAAGGAAAAGATGATAAAATGTTCATAAAAGTCGAAAACAACAAGTTCATCCCTGTAATAAAGGGATATATATATATATATATATATATATATATGTTGAAGATATTTTTCGACTGTCTGGAGGAAAAATTTGCACATCCACTATTTGCTTTCACTATTTGCGCCAAGTTTCATTTTTATTTGCCCTAAAATCAAATATTTTCACCAATTAAGCGAATAATTACACCAATAATTTCAAAATGTGACCAAGTGATTTTTCCTAAAAATATATACCCCTGGTCGAATATGTTGTCTACCTTACAGACCCAGCTATCCCTGGGCTTACAGGCGGCGATCATTCCATCAAAGGTAGCGCTGGTGCAATCGTAAACATTGTCGCGGTTTCGCTTCAAGTGAAGGAAATTCTCACAGTTGTCACATCCATCCGATTCAAACTAAAATGGAGTGATAATGAAAGTTTTAGAGTGAAGGATAAATACGTAAAATTCTGTATAATTTTGTGCTATTTTCATAGGTACATTAAATGTGTGTAAGCATTAAACATTAAAATGGTTTCCACATTGCAAATAGAAATATAAGGAATTAATATTATATAAGAAGAAGTTAATAACTATTTTTTTCCATTGAAATTCAAAAGTTGGATCTGTCCTACAGAACTCTTTTTGGACCGCCCCCCCCCCCTCTATCAATTTTGTACATCTATATATAAATTTGGCTTGACTCTTTGTTTGTATCCAATAAACGTCAAAACGGCTGAACCGATCGGGCCAAAATGTTGTGTGGGACCTCATGTGACCCCAGGGAAGGTCTATGAATGATAAAAATCTTTAAAATTGGTGTTTAAGTTTTTTATTTTTGTAACAAATTTTAAAATCTTGAAAATTTTTTTTACAAAATCGGCGAAATTTTTTTTTCTTTGTTTTTCAATGTTACAATGAGAGCATGTTCACATTTAAATAGAACATGAGCGCGAATTAAGCGCCCTTAAAGCCTAGTTACTAATATAACAAATGTATTGGTATTAATTTTGTTTTATTTCAGGTTTATGTTAGGTTAAGAAAATTTCTTGGCCGAGCGCTGCGGCTAGGAAAGGCATAGAGCTGCGGCCAGGACATGCTAAGGGCCAAGGCTAGGGGGCAGGGCAATGCGGCCACCTATCCAACTTTGACCATCTCTATGTACAAAATTAATGGGAGGTGGGGGGGGGGGGTCCAAAAAGACTTCTCTATGGAATTACCCGAAAGTTAACTAATAACCTGATCGAATGTTTTAACTAACGAACAAACTAAGCATGCTCTCAGCTGTCTGAGGTCTTTAGGAACAGTTTCTACGGAACCCTGGATATCATCCGTCATTTTACAAACTAATAACTCTGAAAATAAATGCTTAAAAACAATAAAAGAGCTGATTTTACTTAAATCGAACATATTTCTCTTCTGTCCCACAAAACGCTCAATGTGGACTACAATGTAAAGAGGCAACAAAAAAAGCCAGAATTGTTCTTGGCCAGATCACACGTGTTTTCACCTATAGAGACAGGCATATTTTTGTGAGACTCTACAAACAATATATTAGGCCATATCTAGAATTTGCTATTCCTGTCTGGTCACCCTGGACTCAAGGTGATATAGAACTCTTAGAAAAGATACAGATAAGAATGGTAGGGATGGTTTCCGGTCTGAAAGGGAGGGAATATCAAGAAAACCTTAAGGAGCTAGGTCTGCAAACCCTTGAAACCAGACGGAGAAGATTTGATATGATCCAAACATTTAAGATTCTCAAGGGGTTTGACTGTGTGGATAGCAGTATATGGTTTGAAACTGTTGGGAATGAGCCTTCAAGACAAACAAGACAATCTGCTTATCATTTTAACCTAGTTAGGAGGCAAGCAAGGACTGATGTCAGGAGCAACTTCTTCTCAAACAGGGTTATTGAACCCTGGAATAGATTGCCAACTGAACTGAAAGAGAGCAGGACTGTAAAATCATTCAAGGATGGACTGGACACCATCATTTAAACCAAAGATGCTATATAGGACCACACTGTAGCTCCTGTTATAATCCTACCTGGATTGGACAACATCATTTAAACCAAAGATGCTATATAGGACCACACTGTAGCTCCTGTTATAATCCTACCTGGATTGGACACTATCATTTAAACCAAAGATGCTATATAGGACCACGCTGTAGCTCCTGTTATAATCCTACCTGGATTGGACAACATCATTTAAACCAAAGATGCTATATAGGACCACACTAGCTCCTGTTATAATCCTACCTGGATTTCTAGGAGTCAACATAGAAGTATCGAAGTAATTGAAACATGAAATAAATATTGTATGTTTTGTCTTATTTAAGGTTAAGGTAATTGCTGGGCTTAGCGCTCAAGCTAGGATAGGCTAGGAGGCCGAGTACCTCGTCTTGGATAAGCTAGGGGGCCGAGTACCTCGTCTAGGATAGGCTAGGGGGCTAGTACCTAATCTTGGATAGGCTTGGGAGCAAGCACCTAGTCTAGAATATGCTAGGGCCGGATACCTCGTCTTGGATAGGCTAGGGGGCCGAGTATCTCGTCTAGGATAAGCTAGGGGGCCGAGTACCTCGTCAAGGATAGGCTAAGGGGCAAGTTCGACAAGTACCTAATCTAGGATAGACTTGAAAGAAAGTACCTCGTCTAGGATAGGCTAGGGGGCCAAGTATCTCATCTAGAATAGGCTAGGGGGCCAAGTATCTCATCTAAGATAGACTAGGGAGCAAGTACCTCGTCTGGGATATGCTAGGGGGCCGAGTACCTAGTCTAGGATAGGCTAGGGGACAAGTTCTTAATCTAGGATACGCTTTGGAGAAAATACCTCGTCTAAAATATGCTTGGGGGCCGAGAACCTCGTCTAGGATAGACTAGGGGGAAAATACCTCGTCAAGGATAGGCTAGGGGGCCGAGTACCTCGTCTAGGATGGACTAGGGGGAAAGTAACTCGTCTAGGATAGGCTAGGGGGCCGAGTACCTCGTCTAGGATGGACTAGGGGGAAAGTAACTCGTCTAGGATAGGCTAGGGGGCCGAGTACCTCGCCTAGTATAGGCTAGGGGGCAAGTACTTAATCTAAGATAGGCTTGGGAGAAAGTACCTCGTCTAAAATATACTAGGGGGCCGAGTACCTTGGACCCCTTAAATCCGCCCCTACCGACAACACGCCAATGCCAGAATTTTTTAGAAGATTTGTCGGGAAAAATAGTAATTACTATCCACTGATGTACTANCCCCCCTATAACTAATAGCTTTCTCTTTGATAATTAATAATAATGATGATTACGTAACGCTAATTTTGCTTGATCGATGGTTAATCCTTTTAATCTTCACAAGTTATGAAATATTCAAAACTATAAAAAAACAGTCGTTAAAATTTAACACAAAATAGTTGATTCGACTTTATAACGTTAACAAATGATTTATAATTATAATGCAAAGAGGAAGGTCAACAGAACTTTCAATTGATTCATCATATAACATATATATTATATATCCTGACACATCAAGGTCGACCGCCATGTTTTGGGTAAACAAAACTGGATCTTCAAGATCTTCAGTCTTCACGCTTGGAATTGGATAAGAAAAGAATTGCTCCTGTTTGTCTGTCTGGCCCAGTCAGCGTAAAATAATGTTAGAGCGCGTGTGCCGCGTTTTTTTTCTTTGTTTTTGTTTAATTGCGCTAACTTTACGTGGCCGAGCGGCTGTCAGCACTCAGCTGTCAATTTGGAACGTTGCGGATTCTTTCAAGGTCGTATAAAGTGGATTAAGACATTTAAGAGTCAAGTGTCTAAATAAATATCTATAAAACACATTCTAGCAAAAAATCACAACCTAATTTCTACTGAAATTTAGAAAAATATGCGGTTAAAAGGATCTTTAGGTATTTCATATTTTAAGTAAAATCTTCTCATTATAATCGATTTCCAAGCTGCCCCTTGTGCTTAAAACAGCTTCCTGGATTCCACGAAATCGAACAGCCATGCATGCACGAGAGATTATTTATTTTGATTTTTCTTTTGATTTTCATTTTCATTTTATTGAACTTAGAAGAAGCAAAGAGAAAGGTTGCTTTTAGCTTATTAGGAGAATTAGAATTATTAGATTTGATAAATTTCATTTTTTTATAACTTTAGATAAAATATGATTACAAGGAGTCGACTATAACTCGTCATTATGGACGATTCTATTAGTAATCTTCCCCTTCCTACTCTCAATCTGGCCGATATTCAACACTATAGGTTAAAACCAAAATACTTAAACAGAAAAGTACATGAATTTTTACTAATTAATAAAATTTATTTCGTAGTATTTTTGGGTTTTGTTAGGCTTGGACAATTTCAGCGCCTAGCACTGCAGGCTAGGTCAGGCAGGGGTGACCAGGCGTTGCGACCACATGTCACAAACTTTGAGTCTTTGACCATGTACATTTATTAATGGGCAATTTCCTAGAGAACTTTAGTCCATGATTCGTATACTAGGAAATTACCCATAATGGGAATTAAGTGTTTTGAAATAATGAATAAAATATTATATTCAGGAAGGAGGTTGAAGTATGGAGCTTAATAACCCCCCTGCAGCAGGACAAGCAAGCTCTCACCCTCGTCTACTCTCTACCTACTGAGGTTAGGACGGGCTTGCTCCGGGTGCTGGATATACAGAATCTACGGAAGGATACAGGAGTACAGTATCTTCTTAGGCACCTAGAGAACTCTAACGCAGGATTGAGCCTAGCGTTTAAAATCTTCTCTGAGGATTGCATCCAGGGTTCAGAAAGTAATGAAGAATATATTCAACGGTTCAAAAAGAAAAAAGAAGAATTAGAGAAGCATCGTCTCGAGTCGAATGATTTAATGTGGACGTTCCATCTGATAAAAGGAGCTAATCTAACCTGTGAGGTAAATTAAAATTTTATATTTATTATTCAGACCCTCCCGTCTTCCAGAATAAATTAGCCCGAAAAGTACAAATATCGTTGTAAAAAATGAATCTCGTTGAGGGAAGGGAATGATTTATATTTTTATTTATGATTTATCATTAGACATTTAATCCTCTCAACGAAACATAAAAACAAAAATCGTTATCGAAAATATTCAAAGTGTCATTTATTAAAGTGGGCAAGCGGTTTTGTTTTTAATGAAATTAAAATATTTGTACTGCCGAATGATTTAATTTTATTCCTGTGCAATGCAATATATTGTTTAAACACATTGGGAAATCCTGGGAACTAAATATAAAAAGTCAAATACAGATTTAAAAGAAAAAAATCTTTATTGAATATTAATAATGAGTAGGCCCGGGATCGTGTGTTGAAAGTATTGGATCCTGACTCCAAGTGTTTATTAACGGATGCTGAAGATGCACTCCAAGATTTTAAATCTCCAAAACGGACAAAATACAAGGACAGTCAGGTACTGAGAAAGGGGAGGGGGCGGATGAAAAATTGGACATGAACAGAAAAGTTGTTTTTACTTTATTTACTATCCCTTAAAAACAATTCATTTATCCTAAATCAGCGGGAATTAAAAAAAAAATTCAATTATTTATGAACTAAAGGGGAAATATTTTTTTTCATCAAAATATATGCCCCGTTGCCTTCTTTACTCTTGAAAGAAATCGGCGAATCACTCACTAAAAATGTCACTGACAGAAAAACGTCTTAGTTTGAACTGACGTTTAATTCATTTGCAACAATCTTCAGTTGACAATCTCTTTAATTTATTTCACTTTCAGGAAATGTATACTGAAAAAGATCTTTGTGATCTTCCGAATGAAATTCTAAATATTATCCTCCTTCATCTCGATACAAGAGATATTGCCAGGTTAGGAATTTTCAGGCATTGATTGACATTGAATTTACGAATTTTTGTATTGCTCTTTTTTTCTTAAATATTTCCATCACTTTTTATTCTTTTTTCCCGCTTATTTTCATGATACAACTGGATGAATCATTCAGAGAAAAGAATATTTTTAATCATTAATTTGAGAGCCAAACGTTTTTTTTTACAATTTTGATAGATACTTTGCCCCTTAGATCCGGATCAAGGAAGCCAAAATGTTCCGGATCCGGATCCTAAGCACTGCGTTTGAATGAAGCATGTTGTAGCTTTCCTGTTAGAAATATTTTGTTCAACTTGTACTTTTTCACATTTATTGATGTCTTTTTTGATTTTTGAATTACAGATTATACATTTAACAAAATAAGATGTTTTTTGTTTAGTTTACGAGTTGTTTGCAAACGGTTCCACGGGATAATTGAAGGAAATCCAAAGCTTTTATTACCCTTTTGGATAGGTATTTTTTTCAAGGGACAGAAGGTGTAGTTTTAAGTGATCCGCCATTTAAAATAGAGGGGCTTGTCCGATTTACAACGTTGCTCTTGAAACTTTAATAAGATCAATAATGTTTAAGATAAATTCGTTTCTTAGCTTAAATTTAGTGTTTAATTTTTCTTCATTGCCTCAGAAGCCGGATATGCGCTAGTCACTGAAGAGAAGCCCAAAATGAAAATAATCAGTTTTCAAAATCAAAAAACATGGATATCTAACTCATCAAATCTAATCATGATCAGACAAAGCTGTGAAGGTTACTTTTTTTAATCGGACATGTCACTCTTTCAACCCCTGCTGAATTGAAATTAATTATAAATTTATTTTGAACTAATGATAAAGCTTAGATGGACTAATCCGCAGAATTCAGTCCTTGGCGTGTTCTTGCTCCATCATACCCTAGTTTAACCAAGCTTCCCTCCCTTCTTAATCATATCAGTAAATGCAGGTTAGAATAAAAAGGGATTGGTCATGAAACAAGAAATTTGGCAGAACGTTTCTTGTTTAATTAAGTAATATGTGCTTCCCGTGTTTTCTGTTTCTAGTGTCTTATATTTATATTTACTAAAATACATTTAAAGAGTTGATTTGGTTATTCTTACTTAATGTTGGTTGTATCCTTACAATTAGTATTTAATTTTATGAGCGCACAATAGACGAGAACAAGATCATTTCTGTCTCTTGGATGTAATAGTTTATTGAGACCTGGAACTGCTAAATAATTTGGATTCCTAATATTCTGTTTCATTTGCCAAGTACAGTTTTTGATTTTTCTATTTATTTAGAAATCTGAGAACGCTTATTCTACCGAGCCTCAAAGTGTTAATAGATTTCAACTCTCTTTACGTTCAGGTATCGTTTTTTTGTTGGAGGGTTACGTAATATTTCCTTTAAACTACTAGAACTGTCAGGGGTGGAAAGCGCCATGAATAGGAATTATCAATTCACCAAAACCTTTTATATCCTGGTGGCTGCATCCTGTCTTGTATTAGAGAGGTGGTAAGCCCCATAAATAGGATTATATATTAAACAATCTGTTCTAAGCTGAGAACTTATGTATTTGATGCTCTTAATTCATTTGCTTTGTCTCGTTATCCAGTTTGGGCACTTTTAATTTGAAGATTAAAGCTAAATCTCCTCATTTTAACTATCCCTTCAGGGTACAATTACACCGCTTGACATCGAATAAAGATTAAATTAATCTGCAGATTAACAAACGTTGGAGAGCATAAAGCCTTGATCTTGATATCCACAATACAATAGTTCGCAGCTCTAACCTAATGTATCCTAGGTGGCTGCTTCCTGTCCTAAGCTGGAGAGACTAGAGCTCACAGTGTACGGTAGATCTGTAAGTATCAGTTTATTCATTCAAAAGATTATCACCAAAGTTAAATAGTTCCAGATGTAGAATACAATTCACGGAACGATTATCCGATATTCGGGGAAATTTTTCCGTGATAACCACTTAACGTACCTAGTTCTGTGTTGAATTTTTTGGTTGATTTTTTAGTAGCCTAGTTTCTTTAACTTGGCTATCAAAAAATCAACCTAAAAATTCGTCCATAAATTCGTAAAGGTTTTGGTAATTTTAATTTTTTCTGAAATGGTTTCCAAAGACATTTCTGTCACGCCGAAATGATATGATTAAATTGGTAACCATAAGTCCACCCATACACTATTTTCAAATGATAAACAACTTGCACTCAGCGATGAAGCCTAATTTTGAAATTACACTTCACTCTAGTAAATAAGCCGGTTATAAGATATTGTTTAAAGCATATTTGCATTGCAGTTATTGCTTAAACTATGAACTAAACAAGAGAAAGAAAGTGAAATTTTTAACATATTGGAAGATGTGTGGGGGCGGGGAGTGAAGTATTTTTAAAACGAGTCTATCACCTTAAAATACGTTTAAGTTAATATTAATTAGGTGATTCATCGATTGCCGAGACAAATTTATGTTATTTAATTATATTTTTGTTTTTTAACAATTTGCTGTTTCAGGATATTGACTACTTGGCCTTCTTGTTCGAGAGCTGTCAGGAAATTAAGTTCATTAAACTAAAATCATCTGATCAGGTGAATATTTATCTGATCACACCCTGAGCCCCCCCCCCTCACTCAGCATTGGAAGTATTATTTTTTTTTAATTTGGGGGGAGGACGTGAAGACCTGAGAAGTGGGATCAAGATTTTTCAAAAAGATATACACTCCTGTTCAAAACATGTATGCAATGCATGGATCTATTGGGCCTTAATCTAAATATTATTTTAGGTTTTGATTGATCTCAGAGCACTGAAGATGATCGGTAAAATGTTTAAAGTATTTAATAATAGAAAGAGCTTTAATTGTCATCTAAGTGGTCTTAGAAAAACGAGTTCAATATAAACAAAACAAAAAAATGGATAAAACTGATTTTAACGAGACTGAAAAAAAAGCAGTGCTTAGGATGCGGATCCGTTGGATCCGCAAGATTTTGGCTTCCTGGCTCCAGATCCGCAAAAATATGCGGATCCACGGATCCGGATCCAAAAGGTAGAAAATCAACCAAAAACTGAAGAAAAAAACTTATTTACTCCTAAAACCCAAATCTGAACTTTTGAAAAAAGAGAGATTGTATTGTATTCTTATTTCTGAATGGTTCATCAAGTTTTAGGATAAAAATAAGCGAAAAAAATAAAACCAAAAATTTGAAAATTATTTTTGTTAAAAAATTCAGTAAATCTTAAAGAAATGACTTGGATCCGGATCCAAATCCATTTTTTCCAGTGAGGATCGAGGATCCGGATCCGCATTAAAATTAAATGGATCCTAAGCACTGAAAAAAAGATTATAAAAAATTTGACCTCTCTCGACTTCTGGGAATTTTTTGTCTCTTTATTTAAAGTTCCTATCTCATTCTAGGGAATCGTCTCCCATTCCTAACTGAGCTGGATATCTCGGATAATTTCATGGATTCTGCTGAGTTGACCTACATCTCACAGAAGTTTAGGAACCTCAAGAGGCTGGTCGTTCAGGTCTACGGACATAGTGATGAGGAATCCAATGAAGCCATTAGGTACATCTTGGTCTCTCAGCCAATCGTGTTTTATGGTCTGTTAGGGTATGGAAGGGGAAATAAATTAAGGTTTGAGGGTATCGAAAAGGATGAAAATATGCGTTCAGATATCTCATTTTTCCTTTTCCTGGGAGGGGGTAAATTCTTAAAATTGTACACCTCTTTAGGTCCTTCCCACACACCCTGTTTATTTTTTTAGGAAGAATATCTGATTTACATATCTAGCCAATAGCATGGTTTGGAGTGACAACCTGTTTTTCGCTGAAAAATGAGTTGTATTCTAGATAACTAGCCTTAGAGGGAGCTTCGCGCCAATCTTCTAAATTAATTGTGAACATGTTCTCTTTGTGTACATCGTAAAACAAAACAAAAATAATTCGCGGATTTTCACAAAAAATTTCGAGGATTTTCAAAATTTTAAAAAATTTAATGAAGATCGAATTTTGATGGAGACAAATATTTGAAATTTTGATCATTCATAAACCTTCCCTGGGGTCCCTTGATGTCCCACAAAAAAATTGGGCCCGATCGGTTCAGCCGTTTTGACGTTTATTGGATACAAACAAACAAACAAACAGACAAACAGACAGACAGACAAGCCAAATTTATATATAGATGATAACAATATGTATAGAAATAGAAGTACTTAACGTATTTCTCACAGTAATCTGGAATTTTTAAGCTAGCAGTAAAACTATTTGCATCATGAAACAACCTAAACACAGTTAATAATGATTGCTTTAATATCGCCTCTTTTTTGGTTCTTACTGTATAATACTGTTGACTAGTAACATTTGTCAACATTCTCTAGTTCAAATGAGAACACACTTATAATGAAGTACGAATAAGTACGCACATTGAGGAAGTGTTCTGAGAAACTTGAGTTTTATTAATAACCATTTTTTTATTTGAGGTTAATATCTTTGAGGTGCAGTATGCTGAAGGTTCTGGAACTCCGAGGAATATCCCTGGAATCCTCAACTTTGGAGGTATATGTTCTGTTGAGAAATCAAGTGGTTTGTAAATGTGCAGGCAGATGGAGGGGGGGGGATGATTCATCACAGAATTAATTAAGAAGCAATGGAGAAAAAAAACGACGTTATCTTCCACATATTTTATCAGATTCGATACAGGGCTCCAAAAAATAGTTCTGCCTCTGCAATTTGGCTAGCTGCAGAAAACATTCAAAAAATTCATTTATTTTTATTTTCAAAATTAACCAAAGTATGATTGAAGAATGGACAAGGAATGGAAGATCAAGAAGAAAGAATGAAAAACAAGAAATATAAAAGTCTCAAAATGTTTCCATCTGATATCATATTGAAATTTAAAAATATTGTAAAATTAAATTAAAATAAGTTATTAAAGTTAAACATTTTATCAGATTCAGGTTTTAAGGGTTCAGTTGCAGTTCGGGCATTGCATCTTTGCACGGAGGTTCACTTGAAATTATGTTTACAGTCCATTTAAGGGAAAATTAAGAAAAATTTTGGGTTTTTATATAACAGGGAAAACTTGCAATTTATTTTCCTATTTTTTCCCTAGCTCTTTGAAGAATTTCTCCCCAGGGGGGGAATTCTTCAAAAAAATTACTTATAGATTTGTATAACAAGTAGATTAGTCATTTAAATTTTTAATCAAAACTGATCTTAGTTTTTTATGATTTTGATTGATTAATTTATCAAATTGAAACAATTTTTTAACAGAATATGCCTCGGGTCAATGTTAGTTTCAATAACAGGTTTTGGCATGATCACTTCAATCGTTGCAAGACGTTTTTTTAGATGCAACAAAATCTTGATTGAATAGCATTTTCACATGAATTTACTAATTATTGCATACATAATCTTTTTCACAATCTTTAGTAATAAATATAGAATAGAATTATGAAAGATTGTTTTAGAGTATTGTATATAACTGTAAGAACCTTGAAACCTTTCTCTTGAAGCCAGGGCGAAACATTGATCAATTCATTTATCGGGATTTTGGAAAACAAGCTGAAAATTTGAAACATCTGACTTCAGAAACAGGAGCTTTTACGATAGCAGAGTAAGTTTTCAAACAAATAAATTCTTTGTGCAAAGACAAACGAGTAAGTTTTATTGTTTTGTTCATTTCATTATAAAAAGAATAAAATCGTCGTTCATTGAATAACTGGATGAATGTTATTTGTTATGATACTATTGTTACAATCCAGAAGGAATTTCTTTATTGATCTTTTATCGTAATAAAAGGAATGGAAACGTAATTTTAAGTGGCTCTCCGTCCAAAAATGACCAAGCCTGATGCACAACTGTACCCAAGCTTTGTCTGATTAAGTATGAATTAGATATTCATGTTTATATTTTATAATTCTCATTATTTTCAATTGAAGTTTCTCTACACGTGGCTTGCACATTTTTACTGCATGCTGCAGGAAACGTTTAAACCTAGAAAAATGACAATATTTTCCACACTATTAATCAGATTTGGGTTCCAAGAAGAATGTTGTGGATTGTCATTTTTGCATGGAGAGTCCTTGAAATTACGCTTACAGGCGCCTTAAGAAATCCTCCTTAATTTTGAAATTTTTCTTCTTTTAAAGATTCTCTGTTTGGAATTGCTCGTTACTCGTGGGTTTGAAGAACTTAATAAGTTTCCATCTCGTCTCAAACAAGAAATGGGAAGGTGGTTTAAGCTGTCTCCATGTGATCGCCAAGAACAATCTCAAGTTCAAGGAGCTATCTCTGTCCATGAACCTGCACAGCGAAGCTGCGCACGATATTTCCTCATCGCTCAAGACCTTCTTCCAGACAGACGTCGGGTCCAGGCTGGAGTCTCTGGTTCTTAGGTAAAAAATGGTCCAATATTTTTTCTCTTATAATATCTGATTTTTTTAAAGAAATTATTTTATTGGCCCTACTTTGTTTTTGGACAGATAGCTAAGGTGTATTTAATGCGTAGCAAAGTATTTGTAGCTTATTTCTGGCCCTAAGAGCTTTAACGTCTTTGTTATACCAAGGGCACGCAGTTAGTATCCCTCTCACTCCCTCCCTGTCCCTGATAAGAAGTTTAAATTCCTTAAAATTGATTGAGACAATTACGTATTGTAACCCTTCACACCGGTTCGCCTGCATCCAGAAATCTTAATAAACAAAACCTGGGTGGATTTAACAGACGATCCCAGTCGTGTCCAAAGTGCGTTCCGAGTGGGAAAGTTCTGATGGGTTAAATTGTCTGTGGGACGGAACACCCCCAGGAATTCCCTTTAATCAATTGATTAATTGATAATTGTTTAGCTTTAGTCAGGAGGTTAGTATGAAGACTTTGAGAGATTTAGGAAAATGCTGCCCTAAACTTAAACAACTTCATCTCTCAAAGGTGAGATACTTGTAGTCGGATTTTGTTCATGTCAGCCCTAAAAAGAAATAGATTTAAGTAAATATTTCTTTTTCCTCCTTTTTGTAATTTTTACTCAAAATTAAATTTTTTCCAAAAATAAAATCATTTATTTTTCCTAAGTTTCCAAAATTACCCATTTCAGTTATTATTTATCTTCTAAAAATCTTTTATTTTCCCAAAATCAAATAAAATGGCACAAAACTTTCGTTATATATTGGGGTCGGTGATTTTTGAAAAATGTGAAGGATATAATTTTTCAAGAAAATATACATCCCTCACGATAATCGATAATTGATGATCAACTATTCCTTATGGTGGTCCAGGTTCAGATATCTGAGTTGGATTTCCTATATATACTCCGGGGTTGTCAGAATCTAGAGAGTTTAGTCCTTGCACAGATGGATCTTCAATGGGCGTGTAAGTTAATATCTAAAAAAAATCTTTATGACCGAAACAAATCTAATTTTTTCTAATTTTAAAATTGTTAAATTCTAATAATTCCTATATGGTTTTCCCTCAGTAGAAATGTGCAAGTTACTTTTTTAGAGAAACCACAATTTATAATCATCAGTTTTCAAAATTATAAACATTGATATCTAATTCATACATGATCAGACAAAGCTTATAAGGTTACCGTTGTGAATCGGGCATTGCCTTCATTCTATGGAGAGTCATTTTAAATTACGCTTACAGACCCTAAAATGTGCCTTTTCTAGGTGATATTGGGAGGTTTTGTCCAAATTACGCTTACAGACCCTAAAGTGTGCCTTTTCTAGGTGATATTGGGAGGTTTTGTCCAAATTACGCTTACAGACCCTAAAGTGTGCCTTTTCTAGGTGATATTGGGAGGTTTTGTCCAAATTACGCTTACAGACCCTAAAGTGTGCCTTTTCTAGGTGATATTGGGAGGTTTTGTCCAAATTACGCTTACAGACCCTAAAGTGTGCCTTTTCTAGGTGATATTGGGAGGTTTTGTCCAAACCTGAAGAATTTCTCTGCAAATCAATTAGAAAAGATCACTAGAGCCTCCATACTTAAGCACTGCAAGCAGCTGAAGAAGTTGGACCTTTGCGGTATTATGCTGTTGACATTATTCAGTCCACATAGCCCCCTCTCATGTATTCCCTCTGACTTCACTATAATTGGCTCAGAGGCTCAGTGAACCAATTTTAGTAAATTTTATGCCTATGCCTAAGTTACCGACTCATCTGGTGTGAAGATGTTTTTTTCTACAAACAAATTGGAAAACTAAGGAATTCATAACGCATTTTTTATATTGCAACTATTCGACGATTTACAGAAAACAAGTCAATATTTACATTTGTTAACCTGTTAGTAGGTTTCCTCAACGCCTGTACTCAAAATTTAATAGTCCTACTAATAATATTGAAATAAATCTTAATTTTAGGAAAGCTTAGTAAGTCGGAGTTGGAAAACATTGCCGAGTTGGAACACTTAGAGATATTCAGGTCTTTATTATCATTCATTATTCATTCACTTGTTTTGGTGTTTATTTCTTTGTTTACAATTGTTTACTTCAGACATGTAAAAAATTTTTATTTAGAAAAGTTTTTTTTTATAGATTACCTTAACAACGTGATCATGATCACCCTATAAAAGTGCAAAGATTGCAATAGTCTCCACTCTCATTTTGAACTTGTGGGCCTGTATAGTTAATCTTGAACGATTGATTTCGATATCCAATGTGGGCACTTTTGATTTGAGGATCAATGCCTGATCTTTTCATTTCAGTTATTGCTGAATGGTATCATTACCCCGGGGTATTAATCTGTATTTGATAAGATTTAGTATGCAAAAAATGGAGATTCATGCTTGGTCCCGAGATTCATAATACACAAGTTCCGATCTCAGTTCACTGAGATACATTCTTGCCAAGTTGTTTAGTCATAACTTTATAGTGACTAACTACTTTATTATACATTTATTTAACTTTCTTTCTTAAAAACTTCAAATAAATTAATCTGAGTCTTTTCTTAAAAAGAAAAAAGACGAAATTGTAAGAAAAAGAAAATCCCGAAAACGTAGATGTACACAATGCCCAATTTTTTCACGAAAACTTCGAAGAGCAGGATTTTATTTTACGTAAGTGTCCCAAGGAACAGGAATAATAATAATACCAGATTCTTTTAACAGAGATGTGTTAAGTTACTTGATGTCACATGGGACAATTTCACTTCACCACGGGTTCCCTGTAAAGTAGTTGGGAATAAATACAACCTCTTCTATTCACTTGTCATTAAAATGTTCTTCTGTAGGTTTGAAGACCTGGAGGTTCCAAGTGACCTTGATGAATTTATCAAGATAACCACAAGTTGTACCAGACTCAGGGAGATATATTTTGCGGATTCCACTAATTATGAATCTATTTGGTAAATTACTATGCAAAGAGCTCTCATATAATAATTATTATAAAAACTGACAATTGACAAATATTTTCTTCCATTTTTAGGGACCGACTGGCGCGCCCTGTAATTGTTAATGATTACGAATTCCTGGATCATCATCCCTGGACCTGGACCTATATTGTTTCTAGGAACTCCTTCGATCCCGCGCAGTAGTCCTTAGCATAGTGTACACTGTACAGCACTGTGCGATGTAGTGTACACTGTGTACAGTACATCTTTTTGTAGTGTACTAAATACTTGTTAACTTTAAAAGTCACTTTAATCAAATAAAAGAGATCTAAAATGGATATTTCTAACATTTATTTAATAAAACGAAAGTTTTGAAATATTTGCACATTGCTGAATAAAATTGGTTGGTTAAAAATGAAAAAAAAAAACTATTGACGAACATCAGTTGGAACATGTTTGTAGAGCTTCATGATGGTGGTGCAGATCATCAGGAACTGGAACAACAGGTTTCCGCTCACCCCAGGCTTTGGATAAGGAGGGGGAGAGATCGCGGGTTTATCAGTTTCGAATATGAGGGAATGCGTCTCAATGTTCGCCTGATAATTTTTGAACTCTTGGAACAGGGGAGAGATCGTGGTTTTATCAGTTTCGAATATGAGGGAATGCGTCTCAATGTTCGCCTGATAATTTTGGAGCTCTTGGAACAATATTGAGCTGGATGTAAGCATCGTCTGTTGATAGCTAGGTATCTGCATCATCACTATGAAGGAGCCAGGGTTGCTCCCTGAGACGGAGTTGTGATCATCTCCGATGTTTCATTCTGACTGCCGGGCTGGGATGTGTAGAGGGGTGAGGGGGGAACGAATATAATCATCAATTTAAATGTATTAAAACAAAATTTATAAATTCTGACTGACTCTTCCGGGCCACATATATTTTTAAAATCCAGCCGCGTCATTCAAAAAAGCACAACTCAAACCATTTTTCAATTCTACATAAGATAATATATTAATATATAAAAAAGAGGTCGTTTGTTTTAGATTTTAGAAGGTAAAATATATAATTTTTCATATTGTGGGAGCAAAGAAGAATTGTTCAGAGTAGTCTGAAGAAAAAGAAAATATTGATCACAATATTATTGTCATTACTTATGCATTACAGATTTATCAAAAAAAAGTTTTTTAGCAATTTTCTCTTCAAAACCTAAATGTATTTTATGGTGCGTCATTTTTAATATTCATGCTGCTCTCAAAAATAAGCCATTTTTTATGGAAATCAGAATTTAGATTTGCAAAAAAAAAGTTTCGCAGTTTACATTAAGAGGAATCATCCTTTTTTTTGCATTAACACTTTAATATAAAGATTTGGATATATATTTTTTGCGTGACGCGACTGGATTTTTGAAAATCACTCTTTAAAGGCCCTAAATGTATCATTTAAGAAAGAAGTTTTGCCCTGAACATTAAAATGCGGTGGTACGGATAGTGCTGGCTCATGGCCGCCAGCCTTCCCCCGCTCGTGCAACCGACCTACAGCAGAGCCCGTTCTCTCCATAATAATGTTTAAACAGTTGGCCACTTCGTCAGACAAGTATCTTAATCGTAGGATAAACCTACGATTAATAAATCGTAGGTTTATCCTACGTTTTAGACTTGTCGCACGATTACGGAAGTACTGTTTCATCAGTCATAAATCCACTCTAAATAGAGGCTGGATTATCTATCCTAAATCTACCCTGAAACAGCTGATGCTTTCATTAGTCATCCTTTAAATCCTACGATTATCTACCCTTTTTCATCCAAACTGTTGTTTATGCACATGCGCATTGGTTTCCACAAATTAGTTTGGCAAATCAAAAACGATCTTTGTTAACCTCAAATATTTTTTTGCAAAATTTAAAAAATCATGTTTTTTCCAAAAATCTGCCGAAAAATATTTTTTTAAATTTAAAAATAATATTTTCTAAAAAACACTTTAGAAATAAAATATCAATATTTTCGTAAAAATATTTTTTTTTTTTTTTGGAATTTTTTATAATAAAATTTCATTTTTACAAAAAATTAACCTTTTTTCGATTTTATCATTTTTTTACATTTTTTAGTATTTTTTTTATTTTTTATTCTTCATCTTATTTCTTTCTATTTATGTTTTCATCTATCTATCTATTTATCTATCTATCTCTCTCTCTCTCTCTCTCATAATTTGAGCCAAACCCAACTAGATCGTACGATCTAGGGTAGATGATCTAGGGTAAATCCACCCGTGCGGGTGGATTTATTTATCCTGCTATTAAGACATCGCGGCATTAACGTTAATAGCACGATTTACAACTCTAATGAAACACTAGGGTAGATAATCTAGCCTTAAATCCACCTGGCAGGATTTATTAATCGTGCGATTTGGCTTCAACAAAGCAGCCTAGTGGCCGTGTTGTTCACGTACTTTGGGGGACGATAGTTTGGCCGCTAGGTGTCTCACGCAAAATTCTTATCTGATAGATAGATAGTTCTTACGAGAGACATCTAGCGGCCTTAAACTATCGTCCCCCTTAAGTACGTGAACAACACGACCACTGTTTAAACATTATTCTGGAGAGAACGGGCTCAGGTAAGATACCCTATTTTTTTGTGCATCCGACTTTAAAAAGTTGTGCATCCCACCTACTGAAGTTGTACATCTGACCTACAGAAGAGTGCAACCAACATAAAAGAAAGCTGTGCAACCGACCAGTAGGTCGGTATACATGATGCTATCTCATTTGGACTACTGTCGTTTGAACTATTGTTCATTTGAACTATTGTTCATTTCAACTACTGCACGTGGGACCACGTGAGTAGTTTAAATGAACAATAGTTCAAACGAGTAAATATATTGCTCATTTGAACTATTTTTTAGTTCATTTGAACTATTTTCATCTGAACTATTAAAATATTATTAATGAAATAAACAAAAATAGTTCAAATGAACATAAAATTAGTTCAAATTTAAAAAAAATAGTTCAAATGAACAAAAAAATAGTTCAAATGAACAAAAAAATAGTTTAAATGGACAAAAAAATAGTTCAAATGAACAAAAAAATAGTTCAAATGAACAAAAAAATAGTTCAAATGAACAAAAAAATAGTTTAATTTGAACTATTTTTTACCTAACCTAACCTAACCTATTTTTTTTGTCCATTTGAACTATTTTTTAGTCCATTTAAACTATATTTTTTTTCATTTGAACTATTTTTTTTTCATTTGAACTATTTCATTTGAACTATTTTCATTCATTTGAACTATTTTATGTTCATTTGAACTATTTCATTTGAACTATTTTTATGTTCATTATGAACTATTTTTATGTTCATTATGAACTATTTTTATGTTCATTTGAACTATTTTATGTTCATTCTGTGTAATGTTTATCTAATTAATTGTCGAATGGATATAACTTTATAAGATTATAAAAAAATTTTAAAACTGAATTGGGGTAGAAAAATAGTTCAAATGAGCAAGAAATGCGTTGATTTAAACTACAGGATATGACGTCATGTCAGTAGTTCAAATGAACAATAGTTCAAACGAACAATAGTTCAAATTCGTACCATAGTTCAAACGGCAGTAGTTCAAATGAGAATCCACCGTATACATGACTAACTTTTTTCCAATGAAGTGTGTATCCGACATATGCAGTACATCGGACCAACAACAGCTTGAACCTGCTGAAAAACTATGTGCGGTTAGGGTCGAAGTATCGTAGGCCGGATGTAATCCAATCCAATATCCTTTTAAGGAACCTGTAAGTTTTTAAGCGATGGTGTATTTTTGGACCTACGCCCATCCCCTCTACTGCCCATCCGACCTA